TTCTTTCAAACCCCTTTCACTGAAAAGTGGTCACATAGCAGAAGTTCTTTTGGCAAATATAAGTTTACTTTTTTTACCCCTGTAAAAACTGTGAGGAATGAATGAAAAACCCTGGGAGATGCTGTTAAACCATACCAGCTTTATTCAACTCACAGGCAAAAACTGCCTGTCAGATGGTTTGTAATTATTGGTGCTTGTATTGCAAAGCTTGACACAGCGATTGGTTTGTTGTGTGCTGGTCTCATGTCACTAATCCTTGCTGAAAGATCCATGGATTTCTGCTGTCTCACTTCACAGTGCTGGGGAGGGCGTGGGGAGGGTGTACGTGCACACTGCCCTACGTTAATAGTGGTATTGAAGCATTATATGTGTATATATGTATATATATATATACAGTATATGTGTATATTATATCAACAAGTTGACCACAAAAACTGTTTTTCTTTTCTTCCTTTACACTTGCAGGTGTTGGGAGGGTCTCTTTTTGTAGTGCTACTTCTCATTTGCTTACTCTGTGGTTGCCTAATTCATTGTGTGTGTTAATAATGCTTCCTCAGCAGCAATATAAAACTCTTCTGTCGCAGTAAATGCTTTTGTCACCAGGCAATTGGCATGACCATGTAATTGTTTTAGGGAACTGACACATTAAAAAAAAAAATAAAATAAAAAAAAAAAAGGGGGGAAAAATGGTGGGGGTTTGGTTGGATCAGTTTTCCAGTCTCCCTTATCCGGTGGCTGCATGGGCAGTTCTGGTACAGTGGTTGAGATGGAGACAGAATGTAGAAAGGGGTTATTTGGGGGTGGCTATTGAATCCCATTTCTTTCATGAAATAAATTGCATAAAATTGCAGTCAAATATTTCTCCTCAGTTCCTCGGGGTATGTTTTCTGTGCTGTTTTAAAGGGACCTAATTATTGCACAGAGGATGTCTTTGTCTAACTTTTAGAACAGTAACAAAATCACTGCTGAAGGAATTTAGTAAAAACTACTTCATCTTTGGTTAGAGTCATTGCAAATTTATAAAAAAGGAAAACTCTGAATCACTTATTTCTTCTTTTTCTTTTTTTTCCCTAAAAGTTACTTTCATTTGTGCTTTGTAAATCAGCTTCACTCAGGCACTTTGTATTGTATTTAAGTGGTGTGTGTTTAAACTATATTCAAAAACAAACGTCAAGTTTATCTGGGTGCAAAACTTCTGTTGGGAATGTGTAGATTGAAATTAAGTGAGAGATGTATTCCAAGGGTAGATAACTCCTGGTTTGTGTTGATAAATCAGCTAAAGGGCTGAACTTTAGATAATAAATCTAGATTTAACTTGCAGCATGAAGGGGGGGAAATCAGGTCACTTTATCTTATGGTCAAATTTTATTTAAAGCTGACTCATGTAATATATATGTCTGTAATATACCTGATCAAGAAGCCTTAAATATCAGATTCTGTAATTCTCACTCAGCATCATTTTTTATGACATCAGTTATCTGTGCACTTGGGTAGAAATCACTTCACGAGAGAACTGCAGGAAAACTAACTTTTGTTGAAAGATATTGGTGACAATCGTTTTGCAAGACTCAAACTTTAATTTGGGGATTCTCTGCTCATACTGTTCAGCTGCAGAAATCCTTTGACAAGGGCATGTTACCCTACTTCTGCAGCTGAGTTAGAGAATGACGTTAGAAAGAGAGAGAACTGTCTAATAAGTGAAATTAGGAAACAGTGTGTTTCAGCCCGCTTTGCTGGCTGCGTACAGTTACTGTGCAAAATCCCTTTGCTGGGCAAAAATTTGGGCTACAAATCAGTTTGTGTCAGGAGCAGGCTCAGTGACCAGTCCCATAGTTTGAGAAGTGTTAAAGACATTTCAGTTCTTGAACAATTAAGTTCAATGTCTGTGCACAATTTTCCTTGGAGAGATGTGTAATGAAAATTTCTCTTGCAGATCTGCTTGGTTGTGGTCTGACCGGCTAATTACGAGATGACAGGGATGCTGGGTAATTTCAAATGATCTTTAGTAGTTACAGTCATAAAATTTAAGAAATCTGGGTTTTATTCCCAGCTCTGACACTTATTTCCTGCTGTGACTACAGTCAAGTCACTAAGGTTGTCAGGGATGTCCTTTTCCAACCACAGCTCTGACAACTGAAGGGTTTTTGTCCCCAGCCTGCCTTGGGTGTGCTTTGTGATCTGCTGACTGCTCAGCTTCTGAGCTTTCTCTGTGGCAAATGTCAACAAAATAGAATTAAATGTGTAAAGACTGCAATTTTAAGCTGTTTTAACTGCACAACTGCACCTGTAAAATTGTATGGCCAGAGATTCTGATTTGGAAAATAGATTTCTTTTAATCAGTTGAGTCTGCTTCAGCAGATGTATTCTTCTCTGATAGAAGTGCTTGTGCAGTGAGGCTGGAATTGTACAGAGGTCTTTACTCTTCATAATAAAAATGTCATCAAACTCATCAACTTTCAGGTGTTCAGATAGTTGCCTAAAAAGGGCATATAAAAATTCAGTGATACCATAGTCACTCTGAAATCTTTCATTTATCTTTTAATAACTTTCAGCAAGTGGCATGGAGATTAGCATTTTTCACTGTCAGAAAGAAGACTGCCACTTGTTTTCTTTGCTTTTTCTGGTTGTTTTTTTTCCCTTGCTTTACATCTGTTTGAATTTTTTCAGGCTGTAGAGTATGACTTTCCAAAGTGAGAATGTCTGGTATTTTGTGAGTGCCAGACATTTTCTGAGATAGGAGAGAGCTGTGTACCTAGTCTTACTAATTAGGCACATTTTTGCTTGCTTGCAAAACCCTTTTATTTGTGGCATCTTCTGGATTGATTTAGAAATAATGTGTCACTAATGTCAGGTATCCAAAATGCTTCTGCTGCAAACACTGTTCTCTTTTTAAATTTTGTGTCATCATTTAAAAGGTACTTTTTTTTTCATCTTACTTTCATGTTTGTATTTCTTAAAGCTGTGAACAGTTCCTTTCTTTTTGCTTTTGGTATCCTATGTATTTTTTCCTGTCCTTTCCCCTATCTACTTTTTGTCTCACTGCTCCATTCTTATCTTTAAACAAGTTTTCACCCTGGAGCTTGTGACTAGACCAGCCTTCCACTGCTTGTCATCTAAAGTTTGTTCTCCTTCAAATCTCTTTGAAAAATTCCCCTTCCTTTCTTTCTCCCTTCTTTTTTCTGGACCTCTTTCTTTCTGATGCAGAAGGTTTCTCTGGTAATGATGTCAAACACAAAAATTTGTGTGTTTGAGAGGATTCTTTTTATTATTACGTTACTTTAAAATGACACCATCCTGGATGTGAACAGACCTAATGCCCTGTGTTAGAGATATTCATGGATTAAAGAAAATTCTTGATGGGTTATACCAACAACTTTTTGTGTCACTCATTGTGCTCACTGTTTATCATCTGTGGTTAACTGGTACAGAAGTATCTTCTTCTGGAGTTCTGTGAAGTGTCAGGTTTTATTTGACATCATTCAGGGTCTGAGCCTGGTTTCACATGTGAAGCAACACAACTGCAAATGTCGTTTCCTCACCTGCAGTAGTGGAATTGGTAATGCCCTTCCTACCTGTTCCACCAGTTGTCCTTGCACGTGGCATCAAAGAACAAGGAGATTGTGGACACAGTACAAAGTCAATTCTAAGATTAGGAATGTGTGTGGCGTTGGCGCTGAAATTCAGCACCTCACAGACAGTCATTGATTCCTGATCGAACAATTAACAGTTCCAGATTTAATTTCACTGGTTTATTTCATGTCTTAGAGCTTTTCGCTTTTTCTTTTAGTAGTTTTCTTGGCCTGTTGTCTGAATTATTACTGTTTTATTGTGTTGTTTGTTGTCTTTTGGCATCACCTGCTTGTCCAGGTCAAAAAATTATTGCTAGGAAGAGTTCTGGTGAGTCATGTAGCCCCAGGAAAGGCTCTATTAAAGATAGACTTGAATGACCTAGATACAAGCCCTTGTGTTACAGAGACATTACAACCTTCCCACATGACTTATTTTGGTTTTTAATTTTTCCTTTCCATAAGAAAGGAATTTTGGTTTGGTTTCCAATATCCAGACAAAGTTTTCCTACCTGCAGCTTAAGCCTGCTTGCTTCTGTTCTCCTTTGTCCTTTAAATTACCTGTTTTCTCAATGGAACAGTCTTTTATATATCAGAAGATTTGCTAGGATATCCCAAGTTTCCTCTCCCCTGGGCTAAATGACTAATTTGTTTGCTCTTTGCCTTTTGGATTGTTCAGCCTTGCGTTATAAGTCATGTTTTTAGGATCCCTTGTGGCTCATGTTCCAGTCCTCTGGGTGTTGTCCAGTGGGTTCTCAGTGCTTCAGCTGTGGCTCCCACTTCTTCTCCAGCCTCCTCAGCACTGAAGGCCTTTTCCTCAGTGGGATGACATGGATGACTCAGAGTTGTTGGATGAATTGGTGGTCATGACAGGAAATCACATTTGAGATTTGACAAATTGTTAGTTCTTGGAGATAAAACCTGTTTGGAAAAACAGTATTGTCTAGTCAGATGCATATGCTTTTGGTTTTTAGCTGGTGAGAATCTTTTCAAAATCCAGTTATCACAGCATACTACTATAACTTGTTTGTTTTGACCTTTTATTTTTTTCAATAATTGGTTTTATGAGCACAGCTGTGAGGTTTTGTAATTTAATTATATTTTCATCTCCATTTCTATTTCTTCTTTTTTAAGTTTCACAGGGTTGCAAGTTTGCATCTCTGTCCTCCTTGAGAAAGGATTTTTGAATTTTATTTTTCAGAATGAGTACACAACCTCAGAATTGAGGGAGGGTTTTTTCCCAATTTTTGGAATGTCTATGGACAAAACAGACTTCAATTTTGTACATTAATTTTCTTTACTATTCAAGAGCCACTATTCCAAAACTGCTGCTTGATATCTGTATATCATTTTTCAGCACAAAGTTAACAGTTTTAGAAAACAGCAGCTATTAACAGCCTTTCTCAATCACCTCTTTTTTATTTTATGTTTTAGGGTTTTGACCCACCGCATCAAAGCGATACAAGAACTATTTATATAGCAAATCGTTTTCCCCAGCATGGCCATTATGTTCCTCAGAAGTTTGCAGACAACAGAATCATATCATCCAAGGTAAGGAATCAATTTCTTGTGGGAAAACTACTTGATACGTTTACTTAAGAAGTCGTTTGGTAAATGTGCAGGTGTGTATGATGTCTAGTGGTGCATATACAATATTCAAAATGAAACAAACTCTAAACTTTTTGGAGGGAAAAGCAAGGTTGCTTCCTATGTAGTTTTTCTCCTCTCATCCTTCTTTCCTCAAAGCTTATTAAAGTACAGAGCAATTAAGCCTATTGGTCAGGATTTTTGAAGGAAAGTAGGTTTTAAACCAGTGCTGGTCATGTCTGGATGTGATGTACCAAACTACTTAAAAGGAAGGGTGAAGCTGGTTGTGAGGGTTTTTAAAGTAGCCAAATTGAAAGCTAATACTCTGCATAAAATAAATCAGCAGTGGACTGCAGTTGCAGATTCCCTCCTAGTGTGTTCTTGGATTGAAATCAGTGGAGCTGGTGGTGGGATGTGCCTTGTCGCTGTGGTGTTGGAGAGAATGTTACAGCTGCAAGAATTAATTTCTTCCCTGCTACCCAGGATGCAAACAGCCACATGACTCCAGCTGCCCCTATCCCACTGGGTAGGAGAACATTTAAAACATGGCCTGTACTGGCAATGCAGTTGCTACCCCTGCTTCCCTGCTTACTGTACTTGAAACAGAAGGAGAAAAAAACAACAAAAATTGGATACAGCAGCTCTGTGTGGGAGAAGACCAAGACCAGGAGATGGTTTGGGGGAGGGGAAATGGAGAATGAAAAGATTTAGCTTAACAGACTTTAATGGGATTGGAACTGAATTTCATTGAAAAATTGTTCAGTGTGTCATAATTACTCTTCTCTCTTTTTTTTTCCCTTCAGTATACAGTGTGGAATTTTGTTCCAAAAAACCTATTTGAGCAGTTCAGAAGAGTAGCCAACTTTTATTTTCTCATTATATTTTTGGTTCAGGTAAGTTGAATAATACTGAGGAAATTGCAGTTTATGTTGTAAATCTGCCACTGATTTTTGTTCTGTGAATTTAACTTCTCTACTTACATATTCTGCCTATAAAAAGAACACATTTTCAGTTTCTCTGGGAAAAGAACATCACTTTAAAAATAATTATGTCCAAATTTAAGTGTTATTCTTAGGTTTTACCTTTATGAATGCCAATGTATTTAAGTGTGCAGCTTTAAAACCCATTGCACTGACAGCAGAGGGACTCAATTGCCTCAAAATACGATTTTAAATCTTGTAAGGTAGTAACGAAATTCCAAATAGGAATTCTTATTTTTGTGGGCATTGGTGGTGTTTGAATAAACCAGGAGTTTTACTCTGTGTTTTTAAGTGCTTCTTGGACATTTGTGTGCAGAAACGCAGACATTCAAGTTCACTGGCACCAAACCTGGCATACACCAAGAGTGTGCTTGCTCTTGAGCTGAGCAGAGATCAGTGTATATTCCCAGTGTAGGTGGAATCTCGCTTTTGTAAATCAGCAGACTATTGTGACACAGTTCTAAGATCCTGACATTCAATTTGTTCGGATAAAATGAACCCACAGGTGTTACAATTTGGGTTGACAGTTTGTCAGTTTTGAAGATGTCAGTTAATGCTGTTATTGTTACAGTACAGGTCAGAAATACTGCTGTGGCTTCTGTAGCTTTTTTGTTCTTTTTTTAATGAAGAACATCCACGAGTATATTATGGCAGTGTGTACATTTTTGGTAATCTTTGCACCCCCAGCTCTGTAATTGTACCCAAATTCTGTGGAGCTATTGTAGGCTTAGCAGGTGAAAGGAGAAAGAGTCTAAGGAGAAATAGTAACTTTTGAAAGACAAATGAATATCTGAGGCAGAGACAAGATTTTGGGGTACATAAACTTTTCTATCCTTATAAAATAGAATGCTTTGAATGTGTGCAGTCCTCCACAGTGATTAACCAACATTTAATAGTATGCATCTGAAAAATATGGCACCTCATTTGACAAGAAACAGGGATAGTGAGGAGTTAATAAAATTTGTCTGTGATTGTGCAGTACTGGTCAGTACTGGACCAGTTCTGTGGTTTTGAATCCATTGCCTCCTGTGTTCCTTGGTCTTGTTCTTTCACATTTGGAAAGAATGACCTTTCTAGGCTGAAAATTCCTGTGTTGGGAGTCACTAAAGTCATACTGTTCTAACTTTGTCTAACAGAATGTGTTGTCCATCACACTTTGACTGTCATTTCTGTTGTGATGTTTCATGCTGTTTAACATATTGTAGCTTGAGGAACATGGAGACATGCTGGAGATAGTACCTTGATGTTACTTAAAGTAACCACAGCCAGCATTGCTTTTATTTCTTTTTAATGCAGATTTACCCCTTTAGTTCAATTTTGTGTCACATTTCTTTCAAACTGTTAGAGTTCAGTAATATCTAAATGTGATGTCCATGAACAAATAGGCATAACTTCTATTCTGAGTGTAATCCTGTTTTCTTTGTGACAAGTGGATGCCCTCATGTGTACGAGAAATGTCTTGTCTGTGTGCCTGCATTCTTGGAAATAGAACAGGAGAAAAACTGCAGTAGTTTTTGTTCATTTGTTAGAATGTTTTTATTCAAATCCCATTTGGAAATTCATTAATATTTAATTTATTTCTTTATATAAAGCAAAGGTGCCTTTTAAAGTTGATCACCATGGTATATTCCCTGTCATACGAATCTCATGTGACCAAGATGCAGAATCTGTCATTACCACCTTGTTCCACTGGGGATGGCAGAGCTGGGGCAAAGTCTCGGTGTGGGATTTAAACTTGCAGCACAGTCCAGTCCACGTTGTTCACCACACACGTGCATGCCCAAAACATGGTGACAGACTGCATTTTGGTGACACCAGGTGTGTGATGGATGTGTGTCCAGCTGTGTGGCAGGCAAAGGACCATGGTGTTCTGGTGAAGGAGGCAGAGGGAGCAGGCTGCCATGACAATTCCACCAGCACAAAACCTGCTTCGTTTTCATATATGAGCCTCTCTTGAGAAAGAGTGAGAGAGTATAGATGGCAGAAATGTCATCTATTATCACCTAAATCAGGTGCTTTTGGCATGGGTCTTCTTGGACAACATGCTGCCAAGCTGAAATTGCAGTACTACAGTTGAAGAACAATATTGCAGGCTATGTCTCATTTTTATTGTGTTCTATAAATTGTCTGTTTCAATGGCAAAAGAAATAAACTCATGCATGCGTTGTAAGGTGGCATAATCTGTTTTCTCTGTGAGGTTCTTGGATCTTAAGAGAGTAAACTTCATGTATGATTTTGTTTTTTCTTCTTTAATGATTCCCAAAGCAATGCCATAGGTCTCAGGTAAAGTGGATCCAATCAGTGTCTGTGGTTTTGAATAGCTCCTGTGTATATTTTCTTTGCAGCACTTGACCGTGTTGTTTTTTTCCTGCAGCAGAGGAGAAGCACTAACATCCCCCCACATACAGAATCTTAGTGTGTACACTGCACTTTTGGCATGCCAGCAATAATAGCACAGATTGTAAAAACTGCATGTTAACTTGGGGGAACTGGAAAGGTGCAGTGTGAAAAAGAAAATGTTCTCTAATATCTAAACCATTGGAAATTATTGGTTTTAACTTTATTTTCACTTCTAAAGTGGATGATGTTATACTCTGCATTGCTGGTAAGCAGTAGATTGTATAGAATGTTGAAACAGCATCACGAAATGTAGATTTATTTCCTTCATAATATACTTCCGAATTCTTCTTTGTAGAATGGAAGCATATCTTCCTTTTACTAAGGACTCTTGAAATTGTCACATGCATTATAAATGTGACTAAGGCTGCTCTGTTACCTAGAACCTTTTGTCTGCATAATAATTGACATGTATTATTTAGGTGTCAGAAATTGAGTTTTGCTCCAGAAATATTGCAGGAAATGCAGTAAAAACACTCACAGTTTATAATGAAATGCTTGGAAAATAGTTGTCATCTTACTTTATTAGGGTGGTTTTTTGTTGGCTTTTTTTTTGAAAGTACCATGGTAAAAATAAAATTTGAGCTAATTTTCATATTTTCTTCCCTTTTAGCTCATGATAGATACCCCTACCAGTCCTATTACCAGTGGATTGCCATTATTTTTTGTCATAACTGTGACAGCCATAAAACAGGTAAAGGGGAAAAACCTTGTGGCATGAAGTCTTTTGAGGGTAAAGTTACTTAACAAAGTCTGACCAAGAAAATGCTTAAATACTAAAAATACATAAAATAGTGTAATTTTTAGAAAGGATTTTGTATCTAATGTTTCTTGTTAGATGCTTGAGCTTCAGCATTTGGTTAGTTGTCGAGCACTCAGTGACTCACTGCAGTACCCTTAAATGGACAGTGAATGATGTCAGGCAGCATTTTTGTCTAAACATTACATGTCACTTGTTATAAGACCTTCTCTGAAAGCTCCTCACTTATTCCTTTGGCACACCTCGCTGCATATCAAAACCAGTCCTCCCACATCACACACTGAGAAAGGAGCTTGGGTGGATGGAGCAGTGGTGCAGCCTGTGTTTGTCAGTAGTTAAAAGGCAAGTTTGGCCCCAAGGAGTATGTTCCATGGTGTAAAGTATGTATTAAATGTAATCCTGTACCAGGTAAAAGCTCCAATTTAGAAAGCTTCTGGTTTTCCTTTCTTCTTCTTTGATTGCATAAAACATTTTGAAGTGCTTTATAGCACTTGAAATAAGAAAAATCTGAGTTTGACAGAAATCTTCTTCAAGCACCATTTTGAGACCTAGAGCCCCTGTAATGAGAATGTAGAAATAGAAGAAAAAGATAAAAAAATCTTATGTTTTCTTTAAACACTTAAAGCAAGAGGAGAAGGAAACGAGCTCATAAATATAGAGGTGATGTGGATAGAAATTATAATCTCTTCTGCAGGGAGGTTATTTTCAGGAACTATCCCCTTCAAAGGGTTTGACAGTGCTGTCTGGGGAAGAAATGCAGTCTAGCAACTGAAAAATAAGCAGGAGACTGTTAGAGAGCTACAACTGGAATTTCAATTTGCCTTCCATGCCAATAATACCCAAAGGCACCCAGAAATAGGGCAAAAGTAAAAATAGTTCTAGCTTTCAACTGGGTAGAATGGGGCAGAGGGGTTCTTAATGCTGGAGTAATATTTGGACTAACATTTCGTCTTGTTGCTGTGCAATTTGTGTATGTAGAGAGCCCTAATCCTATTCAATTGCAGTTTTTACCATCACCCCCCAAAAAAATCACATATTCAAGAGCTAGAATCATAAGTAGGCAGTGGATAATATTCCTTAAAGGTGTGTGAACTAAAAGAGATTATGAAACAGAGTTATAAATATTAGATCATTTTTTTCCAGGAAGAAGTTGGACTTGTGTAAGTCTAAAATAGGCCAAAATAATCTTAACACCACCTTGGTTCCAGATGTCCAATCTTATATTGGGAAATTTAGGTATCTTATCATCAATTGCAAAGAACAGAGATTCTGTCATTCCTTCTGGAGAAGCTTGAAGTCATTCATGACTTGCAAAGCACCAAGAGATTTCCTCGCTGTCTCAATATCTCTGCAAGGACTATTGGAACCACCTAAACTGATCTAATGGACTCTCATGTTTATCCTACATGCTGCAAAGAAGGCAAAAAATATTCACAAGCTGTTACCTTGGAAGGACAATTAAGTGTGCTATTTCCAACAGGCTGCCTTCAGCCAGGGAAGAAAGACAAACCTTCTGTTGGAATGCAGAGGGGAAAATACTCAGTATTGCCTCAAAATTGGCTCCCATTTTCTCTCACAGGAAGCAGATTTTAAGGAAAGAAAGTCCTTTTTGAAAACTGTGGGGCACCAGTTCTGTACAAAGTTACATCAGGATAAATGTTAAACTATAATTTAATATTCTCTCAAAAGATGAAGGTGAAAAATAGAAGCATTAATGATATGCAGGTTTAAGAAGCTTAGCAGTGGGTAGAAGAACTCTCCCCTGCTTCCAGAAGACCAGTTAATGTGGAACCTCTAGCAAACCTCAGAACTCAGCCTGATTTTAAACTCAGCAAAGGAGACAGAACTTTTTCTTAGAAGTGTAATTACACCTAGGTCAGAAGAAGGACATACTAGACTGCAAAATGGTGCAACTCATGCTGTGTCATTTTATCTGTCCTGTTAGCCAGAGCACTTTCCTCCTTGTGCCTGTGAAGGTCTATATACAATCCTCAGAGGAGTCCAAAATTGGCAAACAAATAAAAATAAAAAGGTTAAAAAAAAAAAAAAAAAGAACCAAAACACAATAAAATAAAGGTATTTCCCAGGAACTTTAGGAAACAGTCCATTTCAATAAGTTATAGGTATTTAGCTGATTGAACAGAGATGTTTACTTGACTGTCAGTTAAATTATGAATAACTACTTTGAAGGTTTTGAATAATTATAGACCTATACTGAGAATGAAAACCCTGGTAATATAAAATGCAGGCTGTTTCTCAATTACATTGATGCAGAGGACTTAAGAATATAATTTAATTGAGGGATTTTAATCTTAGTTTCTCTTCATGCAATTAAGCAGCATTCCCTGTATTCCTGTTGCATCTCTCTTTGTCACAGTATTTTTCCAATAGTTGCAAGTGAGGATAAGGAACTCTCAAAAATGCCGCAGTAGGTAAATTTTGGGGGAATTTGAACTGACCACATTAAGTTGACTCTTAAGAATTCCCTGGTGTGAGGTGTCACCCTTGGGTTGTAGGCAGTAGATGTCAGATGGGGAAAGCGCTGAAATCTGTACTTTCTAAAGAAGGTAAATTTCAGTTCTTTGCCAAATGCCCATATTGCTCAGCTGTTCAGGTCTATGAGACAAATGCCCCAAGGTTACTGGATGTTAGTTAAACCTTTGTTTTCTTCTGTCAGTCACCTTTAACAAGGAGCTGTAGGTACTGACTCTTGCTTTTTCATATTGATTAGGAAGGATTCTTAAAAGAGTCTTACTTAGGAGCTTTAGGATTCTGATTTCCCAGAATCTCTGTGTGTGGCTGCTATTACTACACACTTCTTAATTAATTATTTTTAAGCATTTGGCATATAAAGCTTCTTTTCTTTTCCCTGTTCCCTATCTCCTTTCTTTTCAAACCCAGGCAGTGCAGTTGTGCTGTCCTTATTCATTTGTGCTAGTAACAGTGGAGGTACATGAAGGTAGAGCTGCAAAACTGTACTTTTAACATACAAAATTCATCATATAACTTCCCTACAGACTACAGTCAACTGCAGAACTTTCCAAACTGCATCTGCATTAATACTCTTTGTATTATTACATTCATATAATGTTTGTAGGATGAGTTGGGATTATGCCTGCTGTTTCATACGGCTCCCTCCTTCTGTCTGCAGACTTACAAGGAAGTGTTTTTAACTCTTTCACACATTTTATACCTACAGAAAAGCATTTTAGGAAATCTTTCTGTTATTGCAAATGAGTTGCAGGAGTTTTGCCAGGATGTAGGAGGCAGTTGATCCATAGATTGATCCATTTCTTGCATTTGCTTGTGGGGCTTTCCAAACAGTACCTAGATTTGGGGATTAGAGATTATTATGCTATTATGATCTAATGCTATTAGATTAAATAAGCAATGTATAAATACTTCAGGAAAATAGGATGGGGATAATATACCTGGATTCACGATCAGGAATGTTTGCACATTTGTGTGCATGGGATAAAGGGTGCTTAAAGAGGTGCAGAATATCAATTAAAGAAAAACTGCTTAATTTATCAGTTAAAAACTCAGTTGCTGCAAACTGTTCCATTAGGACTCAGAAAGAATTAAAACCTTCTCAGTCATCTTCTCTTGCTATACAGAGCTGATGTGTCAACAGCATGTCACACAAAATTAGGAAATCTTAAGATTTCATGCATAGGCTATGACAGTAACTATAAGAAGTGCTGTCTGGTATGACTTGAGGAAGTAATTTCAGTCTGTTACTTCTTTAAAAAAAAGGAATCCATAAAGGAGCCTGGGGACTGACTCTTCCCAGATTTGTGGTATAATAATCCATACAGATCAACGATTTAATGAGTGCTTGGTCATCTGATCTGCAGAAAATATCACTGCCTGTTTGTTTTCAGAGAAAATGGAACTGTTAAGTTTCTTCACCACTTTTGCTGCTTTATGTGCATTTACTTGTTCCTGTGAGTGAAAATTAAGAGGTTTCCCAGGTTCTTAAGTAACAGCTCTAGTAGAAACTCAAGAGAAATTAGTGGCTATATTCAGATTATGCAGGAAGTAATTTGAAGCGCATTTGCTTAGAAGATATTTAGTAAGCTTTTTCGGTTTATTGCTTGAAAAGTAAATTTCTTTGTGTTTCCCACAGGGTTATGAAGATTGGCTACGACATAAAGCAGACAATGAAGTCAACGGTGCTCCAGTTTATGTTGTTCGAAGTGGTGGCCTTGTGAAAACTAGATCTAAAAACATTCGGGTATGTGGTTAAGGCCAAACTGAAAATTGTGTTTCTATCACATAGGTACAGCTCTTGTTTCATTACTAATCACTGTGGCCTGTTTGATCATGGTTAGGTAACAGTGCTGAAATGAATTCTGCTCTTTTCAAACTCCCTTTGTGTATTTCTCATTTGTGTTCACTTCATTAGGTGGGGGACATTGTCAGAGTAGCCAAAGATGAGACTTTTCCTGTTGACCTGGTGCTTCTGTCGTCTGATCGAGTGGACGGTTCATGCCATGTCACCACTGCAAGTTTGGATGGAGAGACCAATCTTAAGGTCTGGGTTACTTCTGTGAAACAGTTAATTAATTTGGGATGCTGTTTTTAGTTCAGCCTGTTGAAATACCCCCCCCTGCTGCCTGGTAGTCCCGTGTTAACTTAAGGGGTGCTGTTTTACAGACACACGTTGCAGTCCCAGAAACAGCAGTGTTGCAGTCTGTTGCCAACCTGGACAAACTGGTAGCTGTTATAGAATGTCAGCAGCCAGAAGCAGATCTGTACAGGTATCACTTTAGTAGTAAATATTTTGAAATTAAACACTTCAAAATGTTTAATATTATGAATGTTATCGGTCTTGCTGTGATTAAAATAGCTTCAGACATGTGCTTGAATTTTAGATTTTAATAGTTAGCTTGTGTTTATACATATGTACTAACTGAAAACTGCAAGTGACAAGTTTTAATATTTCAGTATTAAACCCAAAATTATAGTTTTTATTTATCTTCTGTATTTTAATTACATACGTTTCTGTTCTAACCAGTAAACTTGTTTCCAGATTTAAAAATATTAAATGACCTATGAATATGACCAGTTTGGAGAATGAGTTGTATAAGGTTCTGCCAGGAGATTTCAGTACTATATAGGGTATTTTAAAGCGAAATTAAATCATAGCAAATCGTTGTAAACTTATGTTAATTCCAGAGATATGTGGTGACCATGTTTATTTTGCATGTGCTCAAGATTTGAACTCCATTCTTCAACAGTAAAACCTTAGATTAGAAACAGGGATATCTGAGTGTTCTTTAACATCAGCAGTCAATGTCCTAGACATCATGGGGAGGAAAAGTTATATTCCCATCCAAGTTTCTTCTGAACTGTATAGTGGAAAATGGTAGCTATTAAGTAGTAGTTTTTAAAATCCAAGTGTCACAGTTGTTCTTCAGTAAACTTTAGGATCTTTGAGAAATATTAAATTCATTAAAACTAAGATACTCAGTTTGAGCAGCAGCTCAGATATTTGATATTTAGCAAATTAAGGTACAATTGCTATGGAAGTTTACGTCCCTGTTTGTAGCTGAGGTCATGCTAAATATGCAAATGTCAGATTTTAAATGCAGAGTAGATTTGTTTTAGTGAAAGAAAAAATACTATTTCTGGTTGGTAATATGCTAACTTACATTTGTTGAGGAATTATTTCTTACTGAATCATCAAAAAGTCACAATCTGTTTTAAGTGAGTAGAAATATAATCTTTTGTGATTATTAATGAAACCTAATAAGCTTTCTCAGATGACTGTTCTTTTGATGGATAAATGTTTCTTTTGTTAAATGTCTCTTGTAAAATTAGTGCCAGTGTTTCCATACTGTTCTATTTTGTACTTGTGAACCATTAAAGACATTTTTGTAAATACAGACTTTTTACATTTTTGAGTCTTTATGTAGATATTTCTAAAATGTTCCCATCTCTCTTAGATTTGTTGGAAGAATAACTGTAAGTCAACAAGCTGAAGAAATAGTACGGTGAGTCAGATTTTCTAAGACGGTTATTTAGAACACATGAAGGTGGTTAAAGTCACAGCCATCACAAATAAGAGTTACTGTTGAATATGGAAAAGGGAGGGGTATTTTTACTGAAAGTTGTCAGTTATAGCTGAATACTTCAGATGGAGAAGAGAGAAAATTAGTGAAAGAAAGTTCATTACTACCCAGTTTTTCAGATCTAATACAATGGTTCTGGAAGGCTTGTCTGCTCTGAAGTGAGTAATTTTTAGGCTCTGGTAATCAACTGGTAGCTTTGTTGCTAGTTGTTAATTAAAGCATTTATTGATCTGAAACAATTTCCAGTGGTATATTATGTAAACTACAGCAGATCCCATCATCTGTTTACAGGAGGGAAAATAGGAAGAACAGGAGTGAGAAAGATCATGGTTTGAAATAAAGACATGGAACTCACTCACAAGAAATGGCCAAATTTTCAGGAATAGATAGCATTTAATTATTTAATTATTTTATCACGTGGGTTACAGATAGTCACGCTTTCAAAAAACCTTGTCACCTTTTCTGAAAAGGTGAAGTGCTGTGTTATGATGTATATTTGTCATAGAAACAGGTAAATCTGTTATGGTTCTTTCACTCTTCTAAAGTCTAAAATATTATCTATTACTCTTTTTTTTTTTTGTGAAATTTCTGCTTGAGGTATTTTCCATGTAATGTGTGCTTCAGTCAGAAGGACTGAAAGTCTCAGTCTGAGAGACTCCTTTGAGGTTTGCAAACGTTTGTCAATTTTAGATAGGAATGACCTGGAGTTCAGAGTGAATCAAGGATTTGTCAATGGTTTTTGCAAGAAATATGGGGGTGTAGAAGGAAGGTGACTTGACCTCAAGTCCAGTGCCTTGACTACCCCACAAAAAACAGCACCCATACCATCCCCCATACCCCACTCAGCTGTTTTCTAAGGTCACTTTATGTGATACTTCACTTTGAGCTTTTCAGGATCCATTACTCTGAAGAGTGAGAGGTTCAGCTTTGGGATAATCTATCAAAATAATTTGACAACATAAACCAGAACCAGTTTAAAGGGAGTGTGGAAAAAAAATTGCAAGTTCCGACTTCTAGCGAAGATATATCTTCTGTATCTCAAACTTGTCCAGACTGTATTACAGTGATTCAGGTTTTTTATTTTGGATTTGTCAGACTGGTTTTACAAACTTGGATCCAGAAATACAAATTACGTTTCTTATGTGAAAAGTTTAAATGCTTGAGCATTTAGTCCCTTTTAGTTCAGTTCTTCAGTTGAAGTTTGAGTCTAGCCTAAAACATTAACATATGTATGTTTAATTTAAAGAACCCACCATAATCTGTGTATAATTGGTGCACATGGTATTTGTGATGGTAACTGTCACATTTGCAGTAACATTTAAGTTAAATTAATTAAGTTAAATGTTTAACTGTGGGAGGTGGATTGTGGATTTGGCTTTGGGGTTTTTTTTTTGTTAGTAACTCCAGGTTATGCTTTCAAAGGAACTTCAGGTATAAGAACTTTGTTTATGTAATAGTGATCATGGACTGCTTGTGGCAAAGCTAAAGGGAAAGTAAGGCAAACCCAAGAGCTTGTGTGCCAGCACTTAGCATATGAACTTTACTTCTTTTGCTTATACCTGGTATGTCAACCTGTCCACTGCAGTTGTTAAATTTCTGCTTTCATTTGAAACACTGGCAAAAATGCATTTTTTTTTAATTTCAAACCAACCCTGCTGATAGTTTCTAAAGGTGATACAACTGCTGGAGTAGAAGATATGGCTCTAACCTTAATTGTCCCAGCCCTGTTTGGAGTTAACTTAGCTAAAGAAATGAATGTATTATTGCATTTCGATAGATGTCAGGAAAAAAACATTTATGAAATTGTTTCTCCTGTGTTAGGAAGTAAAATTTGCAGTGCTGTGGTGGTGGTGTGACCATCTAGTTGTTTGTCTCTGTTTGGTGTGAAAAATTTTGAACTTTCTAGGTCGCTTCAATTTGTCAGAGGGGTAGAAGTAAGATGGGTAGTTAGCCAAACCTAAAAATAGCATTCCTGGTGTACTGTGAGCTCAACTGGCTTTTTGCCTGCTTGCTTCCTGAGTAACTTGCAGGTCTCTCTGAACCAGCCATTTGGAATATTTAGCTCAATCAGTAATTATGGGATATGTAACAGTGGTGGGAGAGTATGGCAGTGTCCAAAGGAGACATGAAATGAAGCAGAGAGTTCTGTGGAGATGGGTGGGTGAGGTGTGAAAGATGATTGAAGATGGACCTAAATGAGGATGGGGTTGAAGTTGCTGCATTGGGAGTTCATAGGGAATATAGGACAACTTTGCATAGGAGACTGGATTTCATTGGTTTTATAGAATACAGAACAACTAATTTTTAAATGCTGATATTTCTGTTTCTTTTTTAGACCTCTTGGGCCTGAAAGTCTCTTACTTCGTGGAGCAAGATTAAAAAACACTAAAGAAATATTTGGTTTGTAGACATCTAAATATTTAAAGAGTATTCTCTTCTTAAAGCATGTTGATGAACTGTGCTTTAATTCTACTTGCACTGAAGAAATTGTAATAATCTTGCTGCCTGTTACCTGAGGGGATATGATTATAGATGAAAGTAATGATATTATGCTGAAGAATCTCTAAGGATATAAAGTTCCAGCTCCATTCTGTGAAAATATTTGAAGTGGTTTGATAAAGGAATAACTTAACTTCAATGGATAAATGACTGTTCTTACTGCTACCCATTGTTCAAGACTTTCTCCTGAGATTTACTGTTCTGATTTCCATAAAATACGTATTGAGCAGTACAGTCATAATAATGAACAGTGTTAAAGTAGGTGTTAAAATTACTTCAGTAGTACTGTTTTACTATAGCAGAATATTGCAAATACCTACAAAATAGTGTCTCATCACTGTACTGAAGTAAACACAAAAGTAATACCACCTCTTGGTTTTATCCTACGTCTCTCAAAATGAAAAGTTCTGCAAATTATAGAGAAAGTAAAGTATAACTCTTTCCCCCCCTTCCTTCCCAGGTGTTGCAGTGTATACAGGTATGGAGACAAAGATGGCATTAAATTACAAGAGTAAATCTCAGAAACGGTCAGCAGTAGAAAAGTATGTTTATTTTCTAATATCTCTCTTATTCATAGAGCTTTAACTTAGTTTTTCCTCTGTAACTTTAAAACCCTGATGGGTTCACTGGGTTTTAGGCAAGGGAAGAGAGTGTTGTTTGCCTTGCCTTTGGTAGGAAGCTGTAAAGATAAAATTAATTTCTTAATATTTCATCCTTTATTGATTCTTTAGTTGTGTATGAAGTGGGAATACCCAAGCTTGCTCAAGGTTACAGGATAGGTGTTACTATAGTAGAGATTTGTATGTTGAATTTCATGATTTACTTTAAAGGGAAAAGTTCTGATTTATGTTGCCTTTACTGCAGTTACTAAAACTGTGAGAGAGCCTCCTGGAATTCTTAGGCAAGCGTGGGATTGATTATTCTTCTGTAGCTACATACAGACAGAACTGAAGTGTGAACGTTCAGTCATCAAAGCAAGGGGTGGAAAGATGGTCTGTCTGATGTGACAGAATATAGAGACAGATGTGACTGTATCCTGGTGTAGCATGGCCTGGGTTAAATAGTCAGGTGCACGTGGCAGTGCTCTTCTAACTGAAGGAAAAGGTGCAGCCTTGGGTTTCCAGTGTGGTTGGTTGTACTGCCTTCACAGCCTTGCTTAGAAACTCAAGAAGAGTAAGATAAGTCAGCCCCCAAAATCTTGGACAGCAGGTGTGACACAAGTCAGCTGTTGGAATGTTCTTGCACCTTAATCTAGTCCTCATATTGCCATATAGAAATTTTATGTTAGTAAGGTGTAGGATTTCTTTTCCATTCTGTTGCTTGCTTATCACACAGAAAATTTATATCCATATCAAGCACAGGATATGTTTTTAAAGAGCTGTCCAGTAAAGTTAATTCTTGTAACCACAGTGTGTCAACAGATTGAGTAAAATAAACTGAAATTGCTTTTCTTTTTTTGCTTCTTTATAGGTCCATGAATTCCTTTTTGATTATTTATCTAATAATCCTCCTCTTTGAAGCCATTCTGAGCACTATTTTAAAGTATGCATGGCAAGCTGAAGAGAAATGGGATGAGCCCTGGTACAATGAAAAAACAGAGCATGAAAGAAATAGCAGTAAGGTGATGTAGTTTACCTAGTTGCATATCTGGGGAACACTCAATTAAGATACTGAATGTATTATTTATTATGTCTCTGTTCTTGGATATAGGTGTAAGTATCACATGATCCAAGTCTCTGTGCTGTTCTCTCAGTGGTTTTGAGAGTGTTAGTCCAATGTAGCCTCACTGTGGTGTAGGAATATCTCCACTCTGCTACTGGTTGGACTTTTTTTTTCCTTTATGGAAAGACCAAGCTTTTTGAAAATATTTGGGCTTTATTAGGGTATATTTCTGATGTTCTCTGCTTTTGTTACTGTTCTTTAGGATGTCTTTTGTCATTCCATGAATGAAAAGAGGAGAAGTATGGCTGTTTTGTGTGTCCTATTACAGTAATTTCACAGTTCAGGAATTTTGTATGTTCTGTGATGTTGAGATGGTTCAGGCAATTTTGCAAGGCTGTAATTTTGCTCAAGCTCCTGCTTGCCCTTCTCACTTTCTGTAGAGGTTGGAGGGATACTTCGGAGTATTCCTGAAATCTACAACTCTGAGAAGTATCTCCTAATCACTCTGTATTTTCCTGCTTTCAGCATAATTTTTGATTTCTCTGAGTGTACCTTTGTCCAAAGCAGTTCAGGAGCTTAAACTGAAGTTTTGGCTATGCAAGGTAGAATAGCCTGTGGAGCCCTTTCAGTTCTGAACAGAACAGGGAGAAGTATTTCCTCAACCTTTTCATTCCTTTACCTTTGCCATCAGTAACATAGAGAGCGACGTGTTTCTGCAGTGTCATTCTCCTTCTATCGTGTCTTTGTTTTTCTCTCTCACGTGTTTACTTCCACAATCTGCTTTGCATTTCTCAACATGCTGACCTCCTTATTAGGAGTGCTTCTCTGTCCATCTGTCCTGTGTGTGCAGATTGTTATTTCATAGATAGTGCTTGAAAAACTCTGTAACCTTAGTAATTGTCACTTCTTCTCAGTATATCTTCTCTCACATGAATTCATAGAATCAACCGGGTTGGAAAAGACCTCTGAGACCATCAAGTCCAACCCTTGATCCAACACTGTCGTGGTTACCAGACCATGGCACTCAGTACCACATCAAGTCCTCTCTTAAAAACTTTCAGGGACAGCAAATCCACCACCTCCCTGGGCAGCCCATTCCAGTGTCTGATTACTCTCTCTGTAAAAAATTTTGTCCTGATATCCAACCTAAACTTCCCCTGGCAATATGCTCTTGGTTTCTGTATGTATTTTCTGGTTTAGTTTGGAAGATCTCTTTAGGCACAGAACTTGCTTAGTTTTTGTCAGACACTTTAATTACTGACTTTTGTTAAGTAATTATAGCAACACTCCCTAATTGGGAAGAACAGACATTATTTAGCTTTGCAAACTGTTCACTACTTTTATCTACCATTTATTTAAAATGTTCTTGTACACCAATATCTGGTAGAGTTGAAAGAGATGGCCTGTTTTTTCTCATCTCTAATCTCCCTTGCTCAATATTCAAGGGTTGGTTAAGAGTCTTCGCAAAGTACAATTCAGATAGTGAGTTTGTTGTCCAGATGAAAAACAAACTTCAGAGAGGCTGTAGTGTTGCATTTCAGAGTTTGTTAAAATTTTCATACCTAATAAAGAGAAGTTTCTATCCTGTTATGTAGGTGTTTACCTCAATTGTAAGTGTTGAACACAGTGATTTGAAGAGGCATAAACGAAGTCTATGCCATGGAAATCCACATAGTCCCTTGTCATGTAGTCCAGATCACCCACGTCACTGGGGAATGCCAGCAAACAGGAGCCCTGTTGTCACTCTGCTGTCCTAAAACAACACAGAGTCCTTGCAGGTTGCTCTGACAGCATGGAATATCAGTTGTTTGCCTTCACAATTTATGGTTCCTTAGATAAGCCTAAATGAGTCATGCTGTTTGGAATGGGGAACACGTTACTTTTTTCAGACCCTCATTGAAAATAGAATCACCCTGACAGTTAATATTAATTGGCAGCCCTCCTGACAGATTCAGTAGATAGGCAAAGATTAATGAACTTGAGAAGTCAAACATCCAGTCATAGCTTAAGGCAGACTTTTTGCATCAGTCTGAAGGCGTGTTACTGGGGCAACCTGGGAATGCCTGCGTTGTCACTGGATGTGTTGTCTCTCTCTTGTGGATGTGGGACTTGGTCTTCTCTGGCTCTCTCAATTTGTCATTCCTCATGCATATTGAAACACAATTAAGTCAATGTGTTTCACCTCATGACTGTCGTAATCTTCACATTTTTTTTCTTTTTCTCTTTTAGATTCTGAGATTTATTTCAGATTTTCTGGCCTTTCTGGTACTTTACAATTTTATTATACCTATTTCACTCTATGTGACTGTCGAGATGCAGAAATTTCTTGGATCTTTTTTTATTGGCTGGGATCTTGACCTCTATCATGAAGAAACAAACCAGAGAGCGCAAGTCAATACTTCAGACCTCAATGAGGAATTGGGACAGGTAGAGTAAAAAATACATAGTTTCTTTTTTTTTTTAAACCTATTTTCTACTTAGTTTTTAATATTAAAATCCATTACTGCAAGCTTTTTATTGGTTGTGGTCTGATTAATTTTAAAATAAGGTATAGACATGTGATGGCAAAACCTAAATTCTTACATGACCAAAACAACATATGTAGTAGAAAGTGTGAGTTGAGATTATTTTATTTTTTTTGCTCTAACAAGTATATGCAATTCTAAGTCTGTTTTTTTTTGTTTTTTACAAAAGGTAGAGTATGTGTTTACAGACAAAACTGGTACATTAACTGAAAATGAGATGCAGTTTCGGGAGTGCTCCATTAATGGCATAAAGTACCAAGAGGTCAATGGTAAACTAACTCCAGAGGGATTTTCTGAAGATTCTCCAGATGGAAATAGGCATGGTTTGGTAAGACACTTTGATTTTCCCACCATTAGTCATCCTAGATAGAAAGTGTTTTTTATTTCAGAGAAATATTCTTGCACCACTGACATGAAAAAAACCCAACATAAATTAGAATTTCTGAATAGTTTGAAGCTCATAAGTGCTACTGAACAAATAATATTTATTAAACATGTTGAGATGAGATTATTTAACATGAAATACTTGGCATATTTTTAAGTAAAAACATTTTTTTTTGAGTGCGTTCAAAACTGGATTGATACATAAATGTTACAAACCAAGATTTTTCTTTCTTACAGGTGAAAGAGGAAGAACTGTTCTTGAAGGCAGTTTGTCTTTGTCATACAGTGCAGATCAATGCAGATCAGACAGATGGTGCTGATGGTCCTTGGCATGCCAATGGAATAACATCCCCATTGGAGTATTATGCTTCTTCACCAGATGAGAAAGCTTTAGTTGAAGCTGCAAGCCGGTGAGCTGTGCTGCCAGAAGTGCCTAACACAGGAATTGCTTCCTAGGGCAGGCAATCCAGGCTGAAAGTAGCCATAGAAATTGCTCAGGATGTTTGTAAAGCCCAGGACCTGGTACTGTCAGCTTACTGGGAAAACATGGAAATATAAAATACACAAAACCCTAGGGGTCCTGTCATCATTTAAAATATTTATGGAAATCCTTGGGAAATCATAGTGCTCTGAGTGTGTTGCAAATAAAATACTGCAGAAAGTAGGCATTCTTAATTTTCTCTAGAAGTAGAGAACAGTAATGGGGTATAAGAATCTCTCTTTTTCTTCCTTGCCACCTTCCCCTTCCTGCATCAATAGACATTTTGTCTAAAGTGGAAATTAAATGTCTGTTTCCTTTTCCTTTTAGGGTTGGAGTAGTATTTACTGGAATTAGTGGAGACAGTATGGAAGTAAAAAGCCTTGGAAAACCAGAGAGGTATTTTTTTTTATTCCTTGTTTATTTTGAAGGACAGAACAGTAGCGATGATTAATGTAAAGTTCTCTCCTTAATCCTCTCTGTTAATAAGCAAACCTTGCCTTTCCACAGCATGCTCTATTTAATGCTTTTCCCTTGATATCTTCAAGACAGCTTGCATCTTATGCCTTACCAATAGTAGCTGAGATGCAAGAATTTTGTGAGTTACTCTGTGTAGGTGTGTGTTGTAACAGTTTGTATCTTTTCCCATTCCTCAAAGGTTGAGACTGTAGTAGAGCTGGAAAACTGAACTGCTTATTCAAGTCCTAGAGTTTTTGCTTTCAGCTCTAGAAGTTTCCAGAATCACTCTCATCTGTGCATAATCTTATTATATATTTCAAACTTTCACAAAATGAGTAGAAATGTTATTGATAACTGTATATCTGCAGTATGTCATAACTCCTCTTACCCATTTTATCTGTGTCAGTTGGCAGTACTTCAAAGCTAAGTGTCTAAAATTAATTTTCTGCACTAGTGGTAACATAAAAAACTAGTCCACTTATCAGGGCACACACACTGTTTTTTCACAGTGTGAGTTGTTTACAAATGTTAGAAACAAAATGTAGTTTTCAAAGTTACACTTGAAATAATGACAGAAGGATAAAGAAATAGGAACTGCTTGTAATCTCCGGGTATCAAGTTAGTATTTAGGAAACTATTCCTATTGGTCTTACGAAATGGAATAAAGTATATATAAAGTGATGAAAAGCAATGAATTGCACAATGACTAATAGCAGTGATTGTTGTTCATCAGTTCATCATTGCTTTTAGAGTTTATATATAAAAATGACACTTTGAGGAAATGTCTGTGGTGTAAGAGTCTATTTATAAGTAATTGTCTTTGGAAAATTATTTCTAAAAATGTTTTCTTACCCTTCCTTCTTTTATTAAAACACAAAATACAGGTACAAATTGCTTCATGTGTTGGAGTTTGATCCAAATCGCAGACGAATGAGTGTCATTGTGGAGAGTCCCTCAGGTAGGTCATCAGAAAACGTAAAAGCTGCAGTTGAGAACTTCTTAAATGACATTATTCTTAATTTCTGTTCTATTTTACTTTGTAGGGGAAAAGCTTTTATTCACAAAAGGAGCAGAATCTTCCATTCTTCCTCGTAGTAAGAGTGGAGAAATAGACAAAACAAGGATACATGTGGATGAATTTGCTTTGGTAAGTGTATGTGCTCGCCCAGCTGATCAGAAGAAAATTCATCTGGGATAAATTCTGTAGCTTGAAGTGAACAAATTACAGGTGACACCTTCTTGTTAGATCAGAATCTTGTCTACTCTGAATGTAGTCTTTTATTTTCTCACAGAAAGGACTAAGAACTTTGTGCGTAGCCTACAGAAGATTCACACCTGAGGAGTATCAAGAAATTGGCAAACGCCTTCATGAGGCCAGGACTGCCTTACAACAACGGGAGGAAAGATTAGCAGATGTGTTCAACTTCATAGAAAGGGATCTGGAATTACTTGGGGCTACGGGAGTAGAAGACAAGTATGCAATGGAGTTACTGCTAACTTCAGTCAATCCCAGCGAGTTTAGGATTTATTCCTGAAATATAACGTGTGAAAAACTCTCCCACTATGATCAAAAGTTTTGTGCTATTCTCGTTTAGTATGTTTACCACTCTTTGGATTGAGCATTCAAAACACAAGTTGTACCAACTGATTTTGGCTTAATAACAATGATGTACAGCTGTGTTTCATCCGGAGAGATTTCCTGTATGTGAAATTGAATAGTAAATAATTTAAATCAAGGTACGCTTATGACAAATTTTTGATCTCTTAGCAGGATTAAGTTCAGTTTTGTTTTGTCAAGGCCTTTGTTTTATTGCTGGTAACAGAGTATCTGCCAGGCTGTGATTCTCTGACCATACATGGGACATTGGAAATGCAGTCTTAACCTGTCATGGCAGTGGGGTTACAGTGGTAACATGGAGTTACAGTATGAGCTCTTTCTTAGTAAAGTGTTTTATTGGTTACTTGAGATTTTTCTTGTTTCCAGACTGCAGGAGAAAGTCCAAGAAACTATAGAAGCCCTCAGGTTGGCTGGTATCAAAGTGTGGGTGCTCACTGGAGACAAGCACGAGACAGCTGTTAGTGTCAGTTTGTCCTGTGGACATTTCCACAGAACCATGAACATCCTTGAGCTTGTGCAGCACAAGTCAGACAGTACCTGTGCAGAACAACTGAGGCAGCTTGCCAAGAGGTAAAATACCTGAGATGTCGCTATCTCAGTGATGATCTTAGCTTGGTTTTCTTTCATTTGCTAATTTTATGACAATCTCTTTTATGAATGTGCCAAACAAATTAAGTTGCCTTTTTAGAAAAATTATTAATAACAGACTTGAAGAAGCAGTCTGTCTAACAGATGAAGTTCTTTGCTTACTGTCTGGCCAACAGCACTGTTTATAGCAAATTGAAATTTTTCTGTGACACCGGTACAAAGTTAACATTTTTGTCCCTGAATAGAATAAAGGAAGACCATGTTATCCAGCATGGACTGGTTGTGGATGGGACCAGCCTCTCTCTTGCACTCAGGGAACATGAAAAACTGTTCATGGAAGTTTGCAAAAACTGTTCTGCAGTGTTGTGCTGTCGCATGGCACCCCTTCAGAAAGCAAAGGTAAGTGCAAATATAATCAATTGCCGTTAGAGTACTTTTACCATGCTTTGAGGAGGCAAGGATTTCTGAAACTGCTTTGTTTGTTTGCCTGACTTCTGAATCCTTGTTAAATTCAGTTGATCTGGAGTAGTTTGCTCAGAAGTTTCTTACATGTGTGTTTGAAAATTTGCAAGTGGATGGAAAAGTCAAAATCCTGCCACTGTGCAAGCAAAAGGCTCACCTTAAATCTGCCTCTTGAGTGTTGTGTAAGGCAGCAGCTGTCCTGGCCACCTGCATGCTTTAGCCTTGCCTGCTACATCACTTCTGCAAACCAAAAAAAACCAAATTGAAAGTTCACAGACTTGTAAGGAAGAAGTGTGCTCCTGTGAGTATTTAAAAAAGTATACCCAAGTTTGAGGATAAAGTAAAAGGGAAGAGAAGCAGAAGCCTAGTCTCCAGGGGAGGTTTTCCTTCATGCTCTTCTAAGACCATTTTTCCTTCACATGTACTTAATTTTACTCAAATACAAGGTGGATGGAATTCAAATTTAGATTTTGTGATTTATTTTTTTTTCAGTCTGGAAAGCTAAGCTCTAAAGGACTGGAATATTTATTCTTTTCTTTTGAAATTTTCTCTCTTTGGGAAAAGACATCTCTTCACCTTAAGGCACTAGGAAACCCTTATATGAGGTACTAGATGTACAAAAGAGGGCAGGCTGTTTTACTATACCATGAGTGACCTGTTTTGAGGTCACTCTTCCTGCTTCCAACAATTAATCAGAGTTCTAATGCAGTCTTTAGCATCCCTTCAGTATAGAACTCTTCACCTGGTATAATATTAGTTTCAATAAAATGTTAAAAGGAAATTGTAACTACTATGAGTAAAACAGTTTGTTTCATTTGTCCACTTCTGTCCATTCTTTTAGCTGAAATTTTTGCCATCCCCTCTTTTTAAGGTACAGTTATTTGCCATTGTTGTGTCCTTGTTCTTATTTTGTCATTTAACTTGATTTATAATGCTTTGTATTGCTTTCCATAATTCCTATCCTGTCCAGCAGATAATGGAGATTATTTCCTGTCTTTCCTCATGAAGTACAGTAAAATGTAATTTTGATGGCAGTGACATTTTAATTTCAAACATTGAAGTATATAAATCACTGAGACAAATGCCATACAACATGAAGGGTAAGCAAGGAAGTCCAGGGCAGTTTAGTCTAGCCTTGCACATGATCTTTTGCTGTAGGCATCCTTTTTGTGAGACTTATTCCAAGGTTAAGCTGGAATTCAGCTTAATATTTCCTGCATCTTTTACTAACTTTAATGTGTGTTAATAGATGGCTGGCAGTCTCACTACTAATTTTGGCATGTTCTATAGCTCAAAAACCTTTTTAAACATCATCATGTCAGTCATTCAGAGCTGCTGCTGATTGCTGCTGTTAAAATTTGCCTGGGGATTTGTCTTGACCTTTTCACATAGATGTTTGTCTGTCTGAATTACCCCAGCCTTGGGGATCTCAGGAGGACTGATCTGGGTGACACACTGCGGCCTTGTTACTTCTGTAGGGCTGCTTGCTAGGATCTAATGCTAAATGTACTTGAAGTAATTACCTCTTAAAAATGGGGAACCTTTAAGCTTGCACATTAATACCTGCAATTAGGAGATGTATTCCCACAGTCAGGTGGATTTCTCTGAGCTGTGGACTGTATTTAGTCACTGTTCCGTTCCTCATGTTAAGTGAGTTCCTGCTCCTGTGAATCAGTGCCCTGTCACTGCCAACTACAACTCAATTATTCCAATACAGGTTTTTGTGCCAGTGTTTCTCTGTTGATATTTCCACCTTGGGCTTTCTGGAACTTCAGGGGGGAAACGTTTTTTCATACATGTTTATTTTCTTGTTTTTGGAAAAGCCTCTTGATCTGCATTCCTACCTTTATCTCTGCAGCCTGTTTACAACTGATCTAGTGAAGCTTCTGCCTTAAGCTAGAGCTCTCTGGGAGGTTAATGAACTACTAATTCTCCTTAACCAAAAGCCTCATCTAACTCCTCTGTATTTAGAATAATGTTGGCATTTACTTAAAGATCCGACTCCTTCCTGCAGGGAACAGGGTCTCACTGCTCCTCTTTCTGATTATCTTACAGCCTTGTATGTCTACAGTTTTTTAACTTGTTCTGTCCTATCTCCTTCTGTGTCTTTTCCAAATGAGAATATCCTTTGGTGATAATGAAGTTGCTTTAAAAAGAATCTATTTTATTTAATAACAGCGTAGTGATCTTTTGGCTACTGCATTTTACCTGGATTAGTTCCATTAATTACAAATAAAAAGAATCTAGGCACATTTAGTAAAAGGCACTAAATTTGTATTACTCCATAAGTAAATTTTCAGTTCCAACTTTCACTTGACTGTTTCATATGATAAAGCACCAAATTAAGCAATGTAACAGAATATTGAGATAAGAACAGGAGAATAAGTTCAGGACAGGCATAATACTTAAATAAGTCTTGTGCCTAAACGAGCTGCTTTTCTAAAGAAGGAACGAATTTGTCCTTGTGATATGCCAAAGATGTTTTTTACCCAAGCATCCATGCTCATAAAATGTATTAATTATATTTACAGGTAGGGAACTAGTAAGACACTTGAGAATTGGTGACATAGTTTGTGGGTAGACTGTCTAATATAAAGTGTTTAATTTTTTCTTTTCAGGTAGTGCGACTGTTAAAAACGTCTCCAGAGAAACCCATAACATTAGCAATTGGTGATGGTGCTAATGATGTGAGCATGATACAAGAAGCACATGTTGGCATAGGTAACTTTCTTCTGTCTGAAGCAATAAAGGCTTTTTTTAATTTGAATCAGCATCAAACGAGCAGTTTCCCTCAGTTGTAAGTGGGAGGAGCAATACCTTCTATTGCAGCAAAGTTGATTAAGTGTTTATAATGTTGAAGTGCAGGAAAACAGAACTGTAGTTTCAGATGTATGTTGTTGGGGTTTTTAAACTTCAATTTTTGTAATACTTTAACCTGTTTTCTCTTTTGTTTCCCAAACATTACAGGAATCATGGGCAAGGAAGGAAGGCAAGCTGTAAGGAACAGTGACTATGCAATAGCTCGGTTTAAATTCCTCTCCAAGTTGCTTTTTGTTCATGGGCACTTTTACTATATTAGAATAGCAACCCTTGTACAGTACTTTTTTTATAAGGTGAGTTTTCCAAGAGTGCCAGTGGAGTTCACAGAAAAATGCATTCGTACCCCTTCTTCTTTTCAGTTGTTCCCTTTCCTTTAAAGGCAACATTATGTTTTTGGGGTTTGGTTTCTGATTTGTCTGCTCCCATGCAACAAGCTCTCGTGAGCAGGGTATAGCTTTCTTGAATGAAATGTGGAATCTATTTTGCAAGGAAATTCTTAAAAAGAAACTGAGGGGAAAATGAATGAATTTCTTCTCCTTTAATACTGCTTAGACTCCCATAGTGAGATGTGTTCATCAGGCAGATATAATTAAGTTTATGCTTTCCAGGTTCATTGTCCCAAAGGACAAATAAACAAAATGTGCTGTCAAGTAAAGAATCTTGCTTCACTTGGCCCTGTAAAATGTTGAAATGCTTTATGGTCTTCATGTGTATTTTTACCAGCTTGTAAGAGTTAGCAGTTTCTTTTAGAGTTGCGAGGAATATACTAAGGATTAACTATTTCCTTCACTTTTCTTTATTTCAGAATGTGTGCTTTATTACACCACAATTTTTATATCAGTTCTTCTGTTTGTTTTCACAACAAGTAAGTATTGGATGCCTTACATCTCGGTAAATGTACTAATATTAGTTCTTAATGATAATTAATTACTAATTATTAAACAATAATATTAAATAACTAATAAATATATAACTAAATTAGTAAATAACTACACAGGAGCAACGCAGATTTACACTTAAAACGTATCCAGCTGATTTTCTGTATTTGATAGCTCGATGTTACTAGGTGGTTATGAGAGTACAGTTTTTTCCTAACAAGTAAATTCCTATAAGAAGTGATTTGTTGCTGCTCTTAGTGTGCATTAGCACCTTTTTTTCTTTACAAGACTCAAAATAATTTCTGTTTTCCTTTCCAGACGCTCTATGACAGTGTATACCTGACTTTGTACAATATTTGTTTCACTTCCCTGCCTGTCCTCATATACAGTCTTTTTGAGCAGCATGTGCACCCGCATGTATTGCAGAGTAAACCCGTGCTCTACAGGTATGTGCATCTTGCAGGAATTCTCACAGTAGCACACCATGTACAGCAATAGTGGCATCTGCAGAGTTCTGAACTTGCTGTTAGACATTTGTGCAGTATTTTGTCTGTGACTTAGGCGTTTTTAGTATCTGTCTTGATGAGGAAGAACTGCAGCTACATAGCTTTCATCCTAAATGTTAACTAACAGGAGTATTCTAAGAGAAGGATCTTTTTATGTCAGTCATGTTAACAATGTAAGAGCATTGAGCACTTGGTCAGCTCACATGATTGGCAGCCTTCTCCTCCATTATGTGTGGGAGGTGAAAATGACTCAGATGTGCAAATGAAAAACTAGGACACCTGATTACAAGAATCACCACAAAAAATCCTCTACTGGGAAAAGAAGTGATTTCCTGTAGAATTAGATGTCCTCCCAGTGGCAACATGTTGCACTGCATAGTGCTTTTTGGAGGGGAAAAAAGCATCTATTTTTGTAAAAAAGAGATGTCTCTCAGATGTTTCTCTTGTTGTAAAGGTCTTTTAAGCAGAACAGGGTGTAAGTATCAGGAGATCTGACTTTTTCTTCCCCTTGCAATTCCAACTCCAGGGACAAGAGTTCTAGTTTGTGCTATTCTGAATTTGACCCATTAAAGACCCTTGCCACTGGTGACCACTGCTTAAATCAGATCCAAATCATGAGAGCTGAGAGTCCTTTTTTTGCCCATGATTTATGTATTTTTTTCGTATGTCAGCATTTGTTAAATGTGTCTCGCTGCAGTTGAAAGTTACATTTATTCAAAGCAGTAGCACTGATGTCATGTGAATAACTCATGGTTTATACAAAGACAGTATGAAATCCAAAATCTGTTTTATTTCTGCAGAGACATCAGTAAAAATGCCCATCTGGGGTTTAAACCATTTCTTTACTGGACCATCTTGGGCTTCTTTCATGCATTTGTTTTCTTTTATGGCTCGTATCTTCTAATGGGAGAAGACACTTCTCTGCTGGGAAATGGCCAGGTACAATATCATAAGTATTATTATACCACTGTATTTGTGGTGATATTTCTTAATATTTTTTTGAAAAAATCCTCTTGTGTCCAAAAAATTTTATGGACTACATAATTATCAAAGAGTCTTTGTCAATATTAGTGTCTGCTCTCAAGAATGACATTTCTTAGTGTGGAAATTGTAAGACATTGTCAGAAAGTGTATGTCCCTGAAGAACATACTCTTCAAGATAATAAATGTGTCATGGTTGTCTTAGACTTTGTGTGATTTTGTATACTGTTTTTGTCAAAATCGTATTTCATGTCAGTAAATGAGTATTTATATCCATTCATTCAAAACTCATTTTGAGTTGGACTTAAATGCAGTGTCAAGCAATGGCTTCTCTTTAGTAGCTGTTACAAAACTAGGCTTAAATCTGAAAGTTGACAAAAGTCTTAAAACTTCTCCTGAAAATGTATTATTTTAATTATATTACTCAGATTCTTTTTAAATTTAGTGGTGCAAGCTGCTTTTAAGTTATACTTTTTATTCAATAAATGTTTTTAAGACAATAAGTTCATGAAATAATCAAATACTAATTTGGCACTTTATTTTAAAGATGTTAAAGTTCACAGGAAGAATCATTCTGAAAAAAAAACCCTAGAGCTTGGATGAAACCATTACAAGTCTGTTTCCTCATTTCCCCTGGTTCTGAGTTATTTAGCTCAGTTTAGAACAATTAGATACTGATTTTTCCCTTGTAAAACTTGGGTAGTAATGGAAAAATACATTTGCTTCTCATTATGCCATTCTTAATACTGGCATGGAGCACTTGCTGATTCTCATGTAGTGCTTGGCAGAGTTGCAGATTATGGCACAAGGTACAGAAATAGCATCATGCTGAATTCACAGTGGTCACCTGGTGACAGGGAGCTCAGGAAGTTTAGTTAAAAGTGTAGTGATCTACAGACAGTAGACAGAGTTGTCTTGAGAACTAAAATCAGAAAGCTGGTGGTTCTGAGCATCCCTGCAGAGAGAGGAGCAGTGGAGTGGTGCAGCTGGAGCACCTATTCCATTTGAGGTGTTTGATAAGAACATTAAAATAGTTGTGCTGAGACTAAAATGTCTCTTCTAGCTGAGGTATGAGTGTGTCATCTCTTGCCATTTTTTACAAGCTGTGTGATTTGAAATTCTTGTGAATTGGTAAAGGTTCTTCAGAACTCTTCTAACGAGGTAATTTTGGACTATGAATCAGTGTGTTTTGGTGCATCTATCTTAACTTGTCAAAGCACCTCACTTCAGAATTGCTTAGTAAATGTCCACAAGGCAGGAACAGATGTTCTCCCTTGTATTTAGTAACAACTCTTTAGTTTGGGGAATTGACAGATGCCCTTTGGCTTCTCATGTGATATGACTTCAGATAAATTCTAAGACTGTGAGGTTTTTTGTTACTCTGCCTTCTGTGTTTGCTAAAAGGTGGTTATTGGAACTGGTAGAGCTGTGTGTTGCAGTAAAATATCTGCAGCGCTTAAAGTTTCTTGCAAATTTAACGTGTGAGTGAAAAAGCCAAAATTAAGGGCAAGAGAACCTAGTGTACTGCTGGAGTAAGAATTCCTCAAGAAGTGGTCACCTGTGCAAATCTGTGATACAGGGTAGTGTTAGTGCAAGGCCTCACATTTCCGTTCCAGGTTCACGGTTTGGAGCACAGCAGAATAGAGGAGACTGTAAATAATTTGTTAATCCTGGTGTTTGTTAGGTTTACCTCAACCCATTGTGCAACTACTTGATCTTTTAGTTCTTTTTTCTCCCCCCTTTTTCATGCTGTGCATGTCGTCAGATATTGAAACCTAACAGGCAAATGGTAAGAGTTTAGAAGAGGAGGAGATACAAAATATTGTATCTGTTACTTCATAGGATTGAAGGATGCAGCATCCACAGTGTAAACGTGTTCAAAAATAAAATGGTGGCAAGAACCCGTTTGTGTTTTGTGTTCTAACTCTCTGACCATTGAGAGCAGTGTTAGCAAAGACACTTTCTTTCACAGGTCACTCAGGAGCAGTTTAATTTCACTTTTAAGGTTACTATTGCAGCAGTTAACAACCAGCACGTCGTGACAAGTAAATCGAAGGTTTCGGAAGACGTGTTTTAACAAAGATCTTTAAAATTATCAGTAAATCCAGACTCATGGCTGCCTCTATTTTGTACTTAGTGTATAGACAAGAAAAGCAGTTGTGAGATCTGTCATCAGGCTGTTGGGATTTTTCTGTCAGAGCTCTGTAACAAGAACTACAACTGTGTGAATCCCAGTTGCGTGCCTCTGTGCCGTAGTGACACATCAACTGTAGGATGACTCTGCCTGTCTGCATGTGGTACCTTCCTCCTTGCTTGCTTAGTCTGCTACCAGGAAATACAAAGTTGAGGATTTGGTCATTGTTCAGTTTGTCAGTGGCAAAAATAGCTGCAAAATAGCAACATTTTCTGTTTCAGCACTCAGCCTGCTTCCAGGAGCAGAGCAGTTGGACCTGTTGTAGAGTGGCAGCTCTGTGTGAGCAGCATGTGTGTAGATAGATACAACCTCAGCATCCCTGCTTGGTTGTCAGAGCTGAGATTTTATTGTTGTAGACCTTGTTCAGAGTTTTGATAGTTTAATTTTCATGCACAAGAGAATACAAAAGTGACAGATTAAGTGTTTCAGAGTGGAAGCTTATTTTTGGGTTTATTAGCCTTGAAACAAAGTGTCTTTTCCTTAGAATTTTCTTTGTAAAATGCAATGGCACCATTATTTTTGAATTGTAAAATTGTGCTTGGGGTAAAAAGTGAACCTTCAGGTGATGCTGCATGTTGGAAATTATCTGAAAATGTTTAAACTCAAAAGTGTTTTGCACTTATGTGAAAATGAATACCTTCCACCCAGTATTTCCTTCCTATTGGATGCTTATCAAAACTGATCAAATTGATATCTTCATCTTCCTATCATTTCATATTAGTATTTTGCACTTTTTTCATATTTCATGTAGCCTTTGTGGTGATTTATTTTGAACCAATAAGAAAGATGACTTCTGGGTTGTTAATTTTGCTCTTGTCATAAACTATATTATTTTCCTGGTAGTTTGTGTTGTATCCTCCTCGCTTTTTCATGATGATAACTTGTCACAAGCTTATGTCCACAGACTAATTTCTTTAGTGTAGTTGACTTGAGAAGAATCTTAACTTACTGTGAACGCTCTTAATTGATTTTTTTATCTTCCATGATTTTTCCTTGCCCTTTTCTTAGATGTTTGGAAACTGGACATTTGGTACTTTGGTCTTCACCGTTATGGTTATAACTGTCACAATGAAGGTATGATATTGCACAGACTACTCTCTGTGTTTGGAGATACAGGCAGATATGTAATAAAGCAATAATTTAAAATTGATTCAAAAGTTAGACAGAAGTAATTGATTCTTGGGGGTTCCAGATAAGTGACTTTTACATTTAGTTTCAATGGTTGTTGAAATGTTTCTCTAGTTTTTGTGTGTCACAACAATGTTTAGTGTTTGGGCTGGAAGTTCATAAGTATGTTCAGACTGGTATTTATAATTTTCTGTGAAGTTGGTGAAAAAAGGAAGCTCACTGACATTATCTCTGTTTTAGATGGCACTAGAAACTCACTTCTGGACATGGATAAACCATTTTGTTACTTGGGGATCCATTGTATTTTATTTCATATTCTCCTTGTTTTATGGGGGAATTATCTGGTGAGTGATTCTTTTTTTCCCCCTTTCTATAGCACATAAGATCAATGAAACTATGAAAAAACACTGTAGGATTATCGTGTACCATCATGCTCTGAATTTTATGACAGGTTTAAAAAAAAAAAAACAACCTAGAGCAGCCACTTTCTTTTGGTGATCCTTTTAAAAATTTGAACAGTGCTGCTACACTGTCCTGTGCTCAAGGACAGACTGGGCTTGTCTCTGTCAGCCTGTGACTGTGAAGGCATTTTTGCTCATAAGAAGTAGATAGGTTCCCAAAGGTGCTATGTAATAGGTAAATATTTGCAACAGAAATAAAGATGCTGGGTTTGAATCAGTGAAGGGGGGTATTTTGCTTTGTATTTTTGGGGTCTTGGGGGGATAGGATGATGGTTTATTTCCTGCAACACAATTTAAAACTAAATCAGAACCTTTCCCTCCAAAGTTAAGTACCCTCCCTCCCCAGAGTTTCTTTGCAGGTCAGGTCCAACATGTTGCTGGGCTTGTACATGGGCACCGTCAGTTGTGACTCTGCATCCGGAGAGACTCAATGCCTGATGTGAAATAGATACACTTGAGACAGCCTGTGCTGTACTTCTGTTTCTAGAAGTTTCTTTTAGTAATTGCCACTTCTTTTAACTTTTCAGGCCATTTTTACATACCCAGGACATGTACTTTGTATTTGTTCAACTGTTGTCAAGTGGTTCTGCTTGGTTTGCCATAATCCTCATAGTAGTTGCTTGTTTGTTTATTGATGTTGTGAAGAAAGTGCTGTACAGACATCTGCAACCAACAAGTACTGAAAAAGCTCAGGTAATACTATGCTTTTGTATCCAACTTGACCAACAGTTACCCTCTTACATTGCTGTCGTGTGTAATGCGTAGAAGTGTTCTCATTTCAGAATACAGTTGTTAATTTAAAATTACGAAAGTGAGGACACCATTTTACAAGGCAGTAATGTTTGTGTTTAAGTATTTGATAATAATAAGAACAGAATTATATATGAAGAGGTCACTCAGTCCTTTACATCTCAGCTTGCAGCTGTATGAGAAGATCATACTGCACATATTTGTCCTGTGTTTAAGACAGTAACTTATTCTCATTTTTGTCTAGGTATTTGAAGCTGCAACTGTAATTGGCATGGAATAGTTCTTAAAATGTGATGGAAACAATAATTTTAAAAATTACTTTAGTAGGATTTTTTTAATTAGTATTTCTTAACTCTTGATCCTATTATATGCTATATATTTGATTGTTGATCCTGTAATTAAAGCTAATTACCCATGTGGCAGTTCCACAGGTTCATAGACGAGGTCTAGAGATGTGCTGTGATAATAGAATCTCTCTTTTGCCTGACACAGGCTGCAAAGAATCCTTTAAATCATTCTGTTGAAATTAGGCTGTCTTTTAGGTAAATATCTCATCTCTGAGTGTTGTCTTCTTTTTAGTGATAGTTAGGGAGAAGTCATCCTGACCCATTGTTCTCATAGTGACTCTCTCTCTGGTTTCAGTTTCCAGCATCTCATCTTTTTAGACTTTTTCTGCTAAACAGAGAAGCCTTCTGTTACAGTGTTTTGTTTATTCACAGTTAGGTTTGTGATCAAGGTTAGTTTGTGATCAGTTAGGTTTGTTCATTTTCACACTAATAGGTAGACTGGACTTGCATCTTTTGTCAAAAAGGTTGTTTTACAGTCTTTTCATGATTCTTGTGTTTCTCTTGTAATCTTCAACATTCTCATTTTGGATTTCACCAGTGGACAGCATATTCCAGCACAGCAGACATCAGTGCCAAGTATGGAAATAATTAATCCCCCAGCTGTATTCAGTTTACAGAATAATATACATCAATAACCTGTTGTCTTCTGCATCTTCTACTCATCTGCAAGTGCTGGTGTTGGTTTCTTTCAGGTCATTGATGAGAGGTCAAACAGCACAGGGCCAAAAAGCAGTGACAGTGAATGAAGAACCCAATTGACAAAGATATTCCATACACAGCTATGGTCTGAAACCTCTCAGCAGCTTCTAGTCCATCTGTGTGCCAGATTGATTTTGTGGTGTCCTAGTTGCTTAATCCAAATTACTCTGAGCTCTGTGCCATGCGGAAGCCCGACTGCATTACATCAGTGCTGTTATCTTTAGCATCTAACCTTGTAATTACTTTGATGTAAGTGCATGTTGATTTACTTAAATTATATTACCCTTCTAATTTGTGTGTTTAAAAAAAAATCCATGTGAGGCATTCTCTTACTTTGCCTCAGATCAACATCCTCCTGACAAGCCTATTGCTGTCCAAAATATCCCATTGTTCCCTTTGCAAAACTGGAATATTAGCTGCTTTTTTCTGTCTCAGAATTTAGTAGCTAAAAGTCAAGGTAAGTAACCACTAGCTTTCAGAAGACTCTTGAGTTAGGCCTGATAAGACTCTGGATTGCACACTATTGCACTTCTTGGATTAAAGGGTCTTGATTTAGGAAAAATGCGATAGGTAATGATACTTACCTGTCTTTTCTTCTTGAAAAACTAGTGGCAATATTTATCAAACACTTCCCTTTCCTTCCTTCCTGTGCATCAGCTGTTGCTGTTTGGCTTTGTATCGGTGTGGTTGTTGAGGTTTCTCATGTTCCTGAACTGCTTGAATTTAAAACCCAAAAAGCCACACGATTTTTCCCTGCCTTTATCCATTTACTTCTTGCAGCATTCTTTTGCTTTCTGAATCAATTCTAAAGAATTTCTGGGTTCAGTTTACTTCCATTGAAGTTGTGTTGTCAAGGACACAGTAGGGCTTCTTATTTTTAAAAAGGAATCTTGATGAATGTCTAACATCTTTCCTGTGGCTATAGCTTGATTCCTAGCCAGGGGGATTTTGCTTTGTGCATCTCCATTAGGTTTGGTTGGTTGGGGGCTTCTTTGTTTGGTTTTTTTCGACTCCCTTTCTACATTGCATTTGACAGAGTCAGCAGTAGGGTGTATGTTTACCAAAATACTGTCTTTTTTCTCTTAATTCCTGATGCTGCAATCTGATTTGACCAGAAATTATTCAGCAGCGATCCAGTGGTTTCTCTGTGTGTGTCTGATAGTGAAATCATAGTTAAAAATGTATTTATGAAAAGAAAACACCTCTTTGTTCCCTTCTCAAGGTTTAATCTTTTGAGATTTTCCCACTCTGACTTTTAATGGGATGATCAGCTCCACTGAATTTCATTTTCTGTTCTTGAAGCGAGAAAGTACAAATAAGTGAAGAGGAGCAGATGATCAACTTAGCATTCTGTCCCTTCTTGACAACATTTGTGCTTCTTCATTATATGTGTTTAAAATTTCTAGTAAATATTTTTCTTTCAGTTTCAAAGCAGAGGAAGAGATTCTAACTTTGAGATAGACAGTGTTTGGAGAATGTCTTTGTCCCAAATGCAAGGGGTGCTGACTAATGCTGATGACTTCTGTGGAAGTCATCAAAGAGCAATTAAAAGAGTTATTAAAGGAGTAAATATGGAACTTGTATACTGCTCTATTAAATGCTGTTTTTCATAGTGCAGATACATCCTGTGTCTAGCTGAATATTTTTAATTATTTTAAATTGCAGGACTGAATTAGTATATTTTCATATTGGGGGAAAGAAAAAGTTTACAGTTACTACATTTTTATCATGGTGAGATAAATTATTATTGAACTAGTCACTTGTTTTTAAATTGCAGCTATTTCAGTTATGTTTCTGACTGCCATCATTTAAATTCTAAACTCTTCCCAGCAGCCCTCTGCAAACACAGGTTCCTCAGCTGAAAATGAAACACTTGCCTCTATTGTTTTAATTTTTCAGATTCCAAGAACATGTTAGTTGTGCATCTTACCTGAGTTACTGCTCTGAATTCACTGTATCTGTAGGCATCTGCCTTGCCCTACTTAATATATAAGGAACCTGATTTTATCTTTTTGTTAGTATAAGGTCATAGCATCAACATTCAGTCTGTCTGATCAGTCAGATGTTACATGCAGCAAAGTTATTAATAACAAAGCGGAGAAATGTAATTGATATGAGAAACACCTGATAAACTTTTAAATGTAAATGTTGTTCTGTCACAGCAACTTATATCTTTCCCTTTCATTTTGGGAAATAAGCATATTAAAAATTTGACAGGCACGTATGAGTTCATTATTATAGAGGGATGAATTTTGTTAACTTTACCTTCCTTAATGCACTTAAGGTGAATGTGTTACTTTATTTTATTTTTGCTGTGTTCCAAGGGGCTTTTGCTGGCCTAAAGAAAAGCCATCTTGTGTTTGTCTGGGGTCAGTTGCCCTAAAGTAGCTTGTGGGCAATTTCTCACTGTAGGTCTGTTAAAGAATCACATAGGAGGAAGTGGACAGCAAGGTAAATGTGAATCAAAATATAAATCTTTGGGTAAATATATAAATCACAGCACTATTGAGGGGAGAAAGTAATGCAGAATAAAGCACAGATGTAGAAGTGTATAGGCCTTTTTTCTCAGTACTGAAAGCACAAGTACATTAAGATTGGTCCTACCAAACAGTAACTGGCTGTGATTATCCCAGGAGCTGTCTTGAAGGTACCAGGCTTGTGTTCTGTATATGATGTGTATTCCACTTAAATAACAATGTGTTGTCCTGTGTCTTTCTCTTAGAAAATTACTGCTGCTACTTACTGACATGTATGTTCCATCCCTTCTCTGTCCAATTGTAGATGTACTCCAACAGAGTTGCTTTAAGTGACGAGTTCATCGCACTGCAGCCATTGTCCAGGGCAAGGAATCAGCTGAGCAAAATTAGGTAGAGTAGGAGGGACAGTTCCTCATCAACTCTTATGCATGCTGAAGGTGAACTAACCAGTGCTGAGAGAGATGGGAAGAGGCATGAATATTAGTGGGTTGAGAGGGCAATACCTGTAGTGCAGAAACATTCAGTTCGGTTATTTCTTGGCTTTGCTCTGTGTTTTTTGAGCCAAATGCTTCTCCTAAGTAGCATGTGTTGGACGTGCTTTTTCTTTTTAGGAAAAAACATCCCTAGCATGATGCTCAACTTTCGGAATACAGATCTAGCTGTTCGTGCATCCATTGTTAAATAATCATAGTTTCTAGCATGGTTATAATGCTTTTAATTTCTTTATGGTAAAAATTAACAGTGCTTTTTGCATGCTGGATAATTTCAGCTTCATGAGGCCGTGACAGGAAAATCCATGTATTTCAGGCAGCAGTTTCTTGCGAGTTATTTGTCCATTTTAATTTGCTTTTCAATTGTGTTGAAAGAGCGGAAAATGTTTTGAGCTTGGGTGCTTACATACCCTTGTGCAGCTAAGGCTTTTTGTGTTTGTTTTGTGCAGCTATAAAGTGAGTGTTGTTTGTTTTCAATGTGTGTAGATACATATTCCTAAAGGCATTTGGCTACAAAGTCCCAGAAAATTATTCAAAAAAAGATCAAAGTGTACATGTGTCTGTGTAGGTAAAACATGATTCTGAAACTCTTCAAATGCACCAACTTCAGCACATGAAATGCTGTCAAATGCTGATTCTCTTTTGTAAGACTTAAGCATTCATATGCATCAGCATCGTCTCAACGTGTTCACTCCCATCATTATATACTTCTGTATTCCACAGCAAGAATTAAGGCAAAGATCTGATTACTTTGAAATATTTTTTAAGATGACTTTGTTGTTAAAAATGTGCAAATAGGTGCTACGTTTTTGGGACTTAATTGCCGTTTATTGAACCAAAAGAGAAGAGTTTTGTATTTCCTCTGAGAGCGCACTACATCTTTACAAGGCAAAACTTGAAATGGCCATTGTGTTTGGCTGTTAGTGGCCCCACTCTGAAACACATCACCTTGGATTTCCAAACACCCAGGGAGGTAGTGGTGGAGTGGTTTAGTTTGGTTTTGTTTTTAATTCAGCACTATTAAAACAGGCAAAGTGCTGTATGTTAGTAAATGATTTAACGTTAGTAAACTTAATAACTGCGTTGGGGAATTGCTCTGCAAAAGCCTTTACAAGTTAGCTTTTAAATTTCTTGGTTTATCAGCGTCATCTAAATATGTTACTTTGGGCAAATATATTTCCAGTAAGTCTCTGTTTTCTCAGTGAATTATTAGAGTGAATTACATGGCGCATCATATCTACACCAAAGGTTTTGTAACAGAAGATTCTGTTAAACTTTTCAAAACTAAACACATTTTTAAGGGCTGTGCAGCTGGATAGTCAAATCAAAATAAAGCTGTCTAGGAGTGCAGCCCTGTAGTTACTATAAGGCTAAAACCAGGAGAATTCTTGCTAACTTGAGATGATTTTCTTCATATTACACTTAGGGAAGGGGTTGAAAAGAATGGGAAATTTGTTTTGTCTGTGAGTAACAAATGATTATACAAATCCAGTTCTCTTGTATGTCAGAATTTTTACACTCGAGCCTCTAATAATACCTGAAATACAAGCACTGAGTGCCTTATACTATGGAACTGAATGTGTAAAGTGCAACAAGAAACAAAAAGGACTTGAGTTTCTCTGGTTCTTTATTCTGTCTTTGGACAAAGTTCAGAAGCAATCCTGTGGATCCTTACCTAAAACAGTAAAAAAGGAAGATCAGTTAGTAGACAGAAACTGCTCACTTCACTATACTAAATAAAGCCTATTTAGAGTGAAGACCACGGGTTAGTTTCTGTGGTGTCAAGGGCAGCTATTTTCCTGAAGCAGTAGGGCAGAAAAAGCAAGGAAAACTGTAGGAACAGGAAACAAAACAGCTGCTCGGTGAATATGTGGCTGTAAGCAGCTAATCTGTCACACCTCATTTGTACATGCCCACCCAGTAATCGCATCCTTTGTGATGCAGAATGCATGTGGGTTGATGAACAGACTTTGGCAGTTTTCTGTTTGTAAATATGTATTAAAATCCTCAAAGGACCATAACTCCAGGTTAAAACGAGTTATGCCTTGTTCTGCCAATATGCTTACTGTTCTGTTGAGATACAAAAGGAGAATCCCTTTATGAATGCAAATTAAAAGACAAGTATGATGTTATAATATTTTTTTTTATGTCTATAGGCTTCACAGTGTGCAAAAAATGTTCAAGTTTGTATTGAATACATTTGTGATGTAGAGTTAGAAGTTTTGAAGGGAGTCTTCTAAGTGTTCATGTGATTCCTGTGAGTCAGAATTGCAGTCTTGTGTGTTAAACTTTTGCCTCTGAACTTTATTATCACTTTTGTAACTTGGGATGAAAAGGAAATGAGGCAGCAGAGCTCAGGTGCAGGTGTTTTCCTCAGCTGGAGTCTGGCTGAGCACTGCTTTCCTCCATAGCTGTCTCTCCTGTTCTTAGAATATGTGAAATATGTATCTTAGGGGACTTACTGGGTCCCATTGTATCTCATTCCATTTTTTTATTTGTAAATAAAGTTTTGTGTCTGCATGTATGTCTACATGTCTCTTTGCTTTATAAGAACTGTCACAAATCTTAAGCCACATGTGAGGAGTGTTGCTCGGACAGATGTTTTACTTCTGCTTGCTGATGGGATTAACTGTGTTTATAGAGTTTTTACCTCTGGACAGTGTGTTATGAGCTACAGGGAAATGTCAAACACAAGAAAGGGGTTTATTTACAGAGAAGGCTGTCAGTGCATAATGGTATATCCGGGACTCTGACTGTAGCATGTGCCTCATCACAGCCAAGCCCTGTTCATTCCCCACCTACAGGCCCATGAGTCTGTTGTTGCCTGGTTTTCCCTTCATCTCTGTCCAGATCTGCTCTGTCTCCAGAACTCCTTGCCCTGGCTTTAAGCCCTTCATTACTTGTTTGTATTTTTAACTCTAGTTCCTGTTTCATAGGATTCTCCTCCTGACAGCTTTCAGATCTGACCCAGCCCAACTGTGTCAAGTCGAGAGCAGACAGGTCTCTGTTCCTTTTACAGCATGTTTTCTGTAAGGAACATGAAATTCCCAAGAGGACTATCCAAGTGTAAGCACACTAGTGAGGTGTACTAGGACACCTTAATATGGTAAAATTTGATCGGGGTAATCTCTTCCTTTACAGGTTTGTACATTTTGTTAGCATACTCTTGTGCTGATCCATTAGCTAATCCATAGAATCTATCACAGGTGGAGGGAATAAATGAGAAAAAAACGCACCATTTGTATTTGTCTTCAGTCACAAAAGTGCACATATTGCTTACCTGAAGGTACTTTTGTCTGATAACTTTGAAATAGTGAAATAATTTGGCATTTGTAGGTTTATTTGATTCAAAGAGACAAAGAGTAGAAAAACTAGAGAAGTGTTGAAAACATAAGTGCCAGGCAAGTTTTTAGATGTGAATATTCTTATATTTTAAAATTTTAAAGCTAATTGTTTGGGATTTTGTTATACAATATATTAAAGGTTAAAGACAGCTTTACAGTAGGGAACAAGTTGTAACTTAGCTGTGGAATAGTAATAATCATTTCATATATTTTCTGAAATGTCCATGTGGCATCAGACATGTTGGCAGCAAGACCCGGGCTCAGTAAGATATGCTACAGTGCTCCTAACTTGGTGTACAGGATTAAATACATTTCCTGTTCCACAAAGTCCCAGCTGCATATCTCAGTGTTATTAACTTTGAGTTGAAATGTCCGTCTTGTGGCATGTAGAATAACCTGTAATAAGGCAAACAAACTGAAATGGTCCTTTCTGTTAGAAGGGGGAAAACAAATAAAAGTGTAAAATCTGAAAAATTTGAAACAGATTTCAAATTTGTTGGGTTTCCCCCTTTCATACTCTGTGGTGCACAAAGAGACCAAACACTTGTGAGATTTGTGCGCTGACAAACCGCGTTCGATCCTCGGATTAACGTGAAGAAATTGCCTCTTTACCTTGTAAACATGCCTTGTTCTCTCAAGAGCAGATCTGGGAAATGCAAGTTCATATGCCAATGGTAACTGTTTTAAAGCAATGCCAGCGTGGTGCTTCATAAGATTTGTTGCTTTTCTGTCCTTCTAGATGGAAGAAGATAAGGGTTCAGTCAGCTCAGCAGGTGACTTTGCTGAAGGCAGGCACAGAGGGGAGGACAATAGGCAACTGCTAGAGCCATCTAGCCTGCCCGACAGTCCTCACGTTCACTAGGTAGTACTCCCACTCTACCCTAATGTGTGTGTATATATATTTACATATCTCATATACAGACAGTCATGGAGCCATTCCAAAATACCCATATTTTTGGCATCCACAAGAAAATTTGCATCATAGTGTGATTTTTTTTTTTCTTTATCAAGCTGAATCATTCTGCACTTCAGTTGCTTTTTCATTTATTACATCAAACGGGCCATTATCATATAAAGTATTATGTTTATTGAGATCCCGGATCTTACCTTATGAAAATACTTTATTTGCAGCCCAGTTATTAATAATATCCTGTATTTCTCTATACTCTTTTTTTTTTTTTTTTTAAGCGTTGTCTCTCCTGCCTTGTGTTTCCGAAGGATGTGTATTAGGTTTTCAGAGAACATTACTGCCTTGCCATGCCAAGTTTTACTGTGGTATAAAACTATGGTCATAATTGTCCTCCACAGGGAGAAAAGTGAGAAGAGGGATTCGTGTGTATCTTCCTTCCAGGTAGTGGATATAAATATAAAAATCTGTGTTCACCAGGCAGGAGCTCACCCGGTGTTACTTTACACTCAACTCTGAAGCTGATGAAACAGAATTGTTGTTTCCAGGCTTATGTAAGGTCACATATGCTGTTGGATTTTTTTAAAATTATATTAATGGTTCCATAAATTGTAGTTGAAGCATGATCCTTGTTTTCTGTATCTAACTAGTGAAGAATAAAGGAAGTAGCAGCCCTCCAAAATCATAGCTGAGGCTTCACTCTTTAGAAACAAGTTTGAGTTACTCTTGGTTCTTCTTTCTCACAGTCTTTGAACAATATGTAGGACTGCTAGCTCTCAGCACATTCTAGGGAAAAAAGTTGTCTGGTTCATCTGATCCTACGTAAAACCTCTGTAATGTGACCTTTTGAAGTAACTTTAAAGGTGTTAACTTGTTCTGCTTCAGGATAATGGATGGACTAAATATTCTTTTTGAAATCCTAAGTGTAGGAATGCTGGGAGTTACTGTTGTGAACACAGCTGTGAAGATCACTGCCGTGTGCAGCAGGGAGCTTGTCTGCTGACCTCCAAACAGGAATTCCTTCTGCTCTGTGTAATTCCTTGTCTGATAACTCTGTGAGCACAGTCTGATGTGGCTGTGAAGGTCATATTTGCTGGTACTGCAGTGCTGCAAATTGTGCCATTCCTGATTTTCTGTGAAAGTGCAGTTGTGACCAGATGTGATGGCCATCAAATGAGGGTGTTCAGGGACTCAGGCTCTCTTGAGGTGTGTTTTGTTCTGTTTGTGTTTTAACCAGAACCCCTTTTAGACCTGTGGGTTGCAGTGCTTCTGCTCCTGTCTCTCAGGAGTTCATTGTCATAATAAATGTTCCTTTTGTGTCCCCAAGACCTCCTAAATGAATGTTAGTGTGTGTTCTGCCTGTGCTCATCCATGGCTTTCCAGGTGCAGCATCCACAGAATCCAGGGTTCCAGTTTTTAGAGCTTTCTGTATGTTCAGACAACTGTTGACTGACAGTCCTGTGGGCATCATGTTGAGCAGAGTGATGGGAGGGTGTGGAGGGACCATGGGGAATGTGGCACTGAGCTGAGGAAGGGACAGACATGGGGAAAGACGCATGGAAACACCAGTGCTCCCTCCTTGCCCTACCAATTGGGATTTTTCTCTTGGATTTCCAAATGCCTCATTTCTGTTGCTGCCTCTTCTTTGTTATCTGGGAATTGTTCTGTTATGAAGCTGTAAATGTGTCCAGTTGCCTATTTTGGGGGATTAGGAAGGATTGTGTCCACTCACAGTAAACCATTCCCACAGGGAAGTCTGAAGTTCTTTGCTTTTGTTGCAGTGTTCACCAAGTGTGAGTGTTGTGCAAAAAATTGGGGTTCAGACAACAGTCAGTGAGCTTTGGTCACGCTCTGAAAAGTTGTGGGAAGCTCTTAAGTGAACTGTGTCCTATCACAGACTAAGATGCCTCCTCCCAGAATCTTCATTCAGTGATGTGAGGACAGGATAATGGATGCTTAAGTCTGTGTGTTCAAAATTTGTTTGACAGGATGCCCTCATGGAGAGTTTAAAATTAAATTAAAAAGCGTCCTCACACTCCACATTCACATTTTTGTTTCCTTTTGGAAAGGTTACTGGAGTCAGTTTAGGCTCTTCTCTCTAGAAATGCAAGATTTCAGGGAGATTTCAGGTTGCTGCAGTTGGCTGGTGTGCAGCAGTGCTGTAAAGGAGCACACTGGTAGGTGGCACTTACACCCATACATTTCTCTTACTGCCTTTTTTTTTCCCCTTTATTCCTTCTATTGCTTTTTTTTCTCACCTACAGAAAATCAGCTGTTGAAAGTTTATTATGCTAATATTGAATTATTCTTTGTGTTGGCATGAACATGACTGAACCTTTCTGACATCAGCCTTGTTTGCATTTGGATAAACAATGTTTGTAAAATCAGGAATGTGCTTTTGTTTTGTACCAACCCAAGGGTATCTATAGTAGTGAATATCTGTAAATTATTGTAGGAACTTGCATTCCACACTTCTTGAGGAAAAAGTATTACATAGGATCAGATTGCTGCATTGTATTCTGCAGCCCCAGCCGGAAGCTTTCTCTTGATTTCCCTCAAAGTAGGACAGAGCTGAGCTTGTATAAATTGTTGTCTGCCCACTGAGGTGAATCCCAGCTGAAACTGCATGTGCTCTGCTGTGGGGTTTGTTAGAGCTGGAACACAGAGAATTCCTAACCAGTTCATTTCCAGCATTAGGCAGATGTGGTGTTAAACCATTTCCATGAGCTCACCAAGGCTGCAAACAAACCTTGGAATGATCAAATTTTAATGTATATAGGCCTCGGGGCACAGGAATATAATTCCTCATTGTAGTTCTCCTATAAAATTGAAAAATATTCAACACTCTAACTTTAAGAAAATCTGCTTTTCCTAAGTGTTTTCTGATAACATCTTCATTGCTAGAATTTGTGAGTACTAATTTTTTTTTTTATTTGTTTTTGTTTGTTTGTTTGTTTGTTTGTTTTATTCCTTCCTTCCAGCTTACTGAGGCAGGTTCAGGTATCAACTGCTTGGACTCCATGTGCTGCTTCTCAGATGGGGAAACAGCATGCACATCTGTTAGAAGAATGTTGGAACGACTAATGGGAAGATGTAGCCCAACCCGGGTCAACAGGTGTGGCATTTCTCTCAATAGCCTTTGCTGCAGACGATTCTCCTATAAACTGGAACCCGATGAGCCTGCAGCAGTAGATGTCTAGAAATCAGCTGCAGGTTTTGCTTACCTAAGTAGGAGATGCAACTCTTTATTGTACTTCTTTTCATCCTGAAAGATCAGTTTCTTGTTTCTTTTTGAGTGGTTTCTTTTGGGATGGGGAGGGGAAAAACAGTTTTCAAAAGATTTCTGTTAAAGTGTTTAGTTTGGCTTTACCACAAGTTCTTGTGTTGTATCTATCGTAATTTCTCTTGATTTGTACATTCTTCTCTTTAGAAAATCAAACCTTGCTGCTGTTTTTGTTCTCCTTTTTATGATTTTTTTTTTTTGCCTTCACGAATCAGGAGTTGTTTTTGAAGTCGAAAGACTTTTCCCTTTGGTTCTGGATGTACAACCTCCAAATATTTACCTTGGAGCTTGAATTACTCCTGAAGATATACAAAAGGCTCACACTCCCCCCCTTAAATATAACTTCATTGTTAGAAGGAGAGTCTTTAAATCTTTCAGCCATTGATTGATATGAAGATGAAATATTTTTGTAGTATAACTTTTATAAGCTATTTCTAAAATCAGAGTAATTGACAGAACAGAGTCTTCAGGTTCTAAGAATTTTAAATGTTTTTTCGGTTCTAGAAGGTATATTGTCAAAATCATGTGTGCCATTCAAAATATGTGCTAATTCCTCCACAAACCATGTGTGAAACAAACATAGTGGGAGATAAAAGCATGTTAGAGTAATGGAATATGTCTAAAGAGCAATACTGCTCTTATGGTCAGAGGAGCTCTCACTGAATCCCCTAATGTGCCATCTCCCCATGTCCAAATAGAGGGATAGTGAACAAACATGGAAATATTTGGGGGTAGAAGTCAAAATAGTCTTTTGTACATCGTAATCTCTCAGTCTCTGAATGATATCATGGTCCTTCACTGGTCAAAAGGCAAACCTGAAAACATTGAGCTTCACACATTTTCAAGGAAACTCATTTTGTATTTGGACAACTTTGTCTCTTTCTGTTAAAGGTTGTGATATCATTCACTGGGTATCAAGTCTTGTGTGGGTAATTTCCACTGACAGCTTTGTCAGCTCTGATTCTGCCTTTAGGTATTGCCTGGTCTGTAGCTCATCTCTGTTGGAACTCTTGTGTTGAACACTGTGTCTGTGGTTTCAGTCAGTCTCTCTCTTCTGGCTTGCTTATGAAATTTATTCAGTGTTTCTACAAACCTAGGTTATGAATATGCAAAATGTTTCATTCCATATGAAATATGAACTGTTATGACTAAGTACATTTTTAATTCAAACTTGCTGTATAGAAAGCGGGCATGATGTGTAAAATAAACAATTTAATAGAATTTTTAATCTACAAGGTGAGCATTTAATTGGTCTAAAAATCAACATTTTGGTAGCAGTTGCTCTAAGTTTTTTGATGTTTTTTTCCACTTCTCTGTAAAACTGTGCTTTCCAAATGAGGAATTTCTCATGCTACTTCTTTTCCATTTATTGTTATCTAATTAAGATTTTTGTTAACAATTGCCTTAGTAACCTGTAGTCTTATAAGGTAGGTATTCTGTGTTTTATTTAATGCATTCACAGTTTTACGATTTTCTCTTTTGTTCCACTTAAATTTTCTTTCCTTAAGAACTTACAAATACTTATTGAAGATAACTCATATTTGACAGAATATTAAACAATCTTTGAAGACTGCTTTTTCTCAGGTTTCTTGTCTGCTTACCTCATGTAATTTTCAGATGAAGTTCCATCGAGCCAAATAATTGCAGAGTTCTTAGAACACAGACAATAGGATTACGTTTAATGAATATGCAAAACTACCTTGGTGCTACACTAAGGGCTTGAAGTTCTGTGGTTTTTGCTGCTGCCTCCAGTTGAAATTGCTCTGAACAATCTCCTAGTTTCACTTAAATTTATGTACAGTACAACTAGAAAAGAGGTGGGGTTTTTTAAGTGTGTTATACTTGCTGTCTCCAGTGACTTCAGCTACTTCTACTCAGCATTGACACTTAAAACCAAGGCTAAAAGTAATTTTCTTCCCTTACACTTCCTGGTAATATAAGAAAGTATTTGTTCATTTTTTAACGTCTTAACTGTTTGAATCACATGAAGCAGTTACAAGTCGTGAAATGCTGAAGGTACAGTTAAGAAATCTCGAGTAATTTTTTAAAGTGCTTGTAAAATTGTTTAGGCTTTGTTCACGAGCTTGAGCTGCTGTGTTTTGTATCTAAATCTTCAGAAAATTGTGCAGTCCCCAACAGGTTGGTCTCCTGAGCACTTGTGCTGTATAAAGCAGCAAATTATTCAACCAGGAGGCAGCTGCAAATTATTTTTGTTGGATGAAGTGATGCTGAGAAATACGTTGTCTGTGCAAGTGCTGTAGAATGAAGAGCGCTTCTTTAAATAATGTTGCTGTAGCAACTTGTGTTGTATTCTGTGCTCCTGATATTCTGTCAAATATGAGAACTGAACAGGAAATCCAACATGGTATCAAATTTTGATAGAAGCTTTGATGAATCAAAGTTGTACAAATGCTTGGAGTAGTGGGCCACAGGAGTATAGTTCTCTTGTGTTTATTTTACTGCTTGTAAAATGTATTTGAGAAGTATTTTCTATAGCTCCAGTTAGGCTGTAAAATGTGTGGTGTGGTATGTTAAAAAATGCATTTTTGTCTGTCTGTTCCATTAAATTGTCTGTCAGCTTGTCAGTCACTCAGATACTAAGAATGCTGGATCACATTTCTTGTACAGTAGGATTCATTGCTGAATTGTTGGATCTCCCATTAGTGGTACTTGTGTCAAGGCACTGCATGTAACAGTTGTAAAGAAACAGCAGATTTCTGACAGAGGCTAATTTGGAGGATAAATTCATTATGTTTTGATTTCCTGCCTTCCAACCTTCTATTTTTCAGCATTTCACATATAATTTTCATAACGTTGTTCAGCCAAGAACAGTATTTCTTCCCAAGCAGTAATTTGTCCTCAAGTGAAAGACATTGTGAGATCCCATCTCAGTCAGAAGCTGTGACGTCTTAGGCAGCTTTCCTGATGTCTTAAATTTTAACAGTAAAGGGGATGAAATAGATTCATGGCTGTGGATCAGTTTTGCCTGCCCACGACTGCAGCCAGTGTGGATGTTTCCCGTTGGGACACGGGCGTGCCGGGTTTCCAGGGGTAGCTGTGCACCACAGGGCTTTGCTGGAATGGCCTCGGGTGGTGCCTCAGTGTACACAGGCAGCATTTAGAGTCTCCCTGAGGGCACAGTATTGAAACTTTAGTGGCAAAAGGGGCATATAAACCTCTGGTTGTTTTAGTTCATAGTGAGGAAAATATCCATAGCTGTGAGTAAATTATTAACTACACAGCAGACATGAGTTGGCATGTGTTCTCAAAGGTCTGAATGAATTGCAGGTGCCTACATGAAATTAATAGATTAGTCTTTTAAAGAGGAACATTTGCCTAATCTCGTAGCACTTCTATCTTTTGCTTTCCTAGACTTTTCTCCTCACCTCTGTAGAGTATAAGTTCCCAGTCAGCCAAACTTTTCTTTTATTGTTACTTTAGATCATGGAGTTCCTCGGATCCCTTCTATGCCAACGACAGAAGCATCTTGACTCTCTCCACAATGGACTCAGCCACTTGTTGACAGGGACATTTGTAAATGCCTTGTGGAAACCATGTGGTGCTCACACACCTGTAGGTTCTGAGGCGAGTCCAGTGTCCGTCGCTGCCCTAGGAAAGAGTAGAGTGACTCCTAAGCACAGACCTTGTCTGTGACCTGGCATCTGCACAGCTATTGCTTCCAGTATTTTTTTCTAATTATATCTACAAATTGCTAAATAATTTTTTTGGAGGTAAGGAATGCTTTTACCTCTGACCATTTGATCTTTTTTGTTACCGTACGAGCAGATTGAAATCCTGAATTTAATACTTGAGATGTCACTGCAGCGCAATGACAACGTCTTTCTCCTCCCAAATTTGAGTGATCCAATTTGAATCAACTTGAATTTGCACAACTGAAGTTTTAAAAGTGGCATTTTTCATGATGACCCTTCCTTTAAACACACACATTAATTTTGAGCTGTGTCTCAGATGCTGTCTTAGCAGTTCGCGGATCAATTTTTTTATTTCTGTGGACGGTTACCATATTCTGTGAGCAATCAGTTTAGTAATTTTTGAGAGTTAAATGCAATTCAAATATTTATGCTGGTATATGAGTGGCAATACATTAGTCATTGCTTTGAAAAACACTGTTAACTGTGACAAATCAATAATTTGGAATACTAAGGGATATAACAGTTCACTGTTCTCTTAAAGTATAATTGGGAAGCCAGTCATCCTTTATTATGCCATGTGTGGGTGTTTTTAACAGTTCTCAATGCCGACATGGAAAAATGTTTAAAGAATTGGTGGATTGTGCAGAAGTCTCACTAGCATAAATTTTTTGAATTATTAATCTTTTAAAGTTGGGGAATTTTTGCATGTTTTGTTCTTTTTCATGTATTTATATTTGGTCATGTTGTACTTTGAAGATATAATTAATGCTTAATTATCTTCGTATATCGGAAGGATCCGAGACCTTGATGGCAATGTTTTGATACCCGAGTATGCCAATAAAAGCAAATTGCACAGTTGGAGGTTTGAATGGTGCATCTTGCAGGTACTTCTGTTGTCCCAGTATAAACGTGTCTGCAGGTTTGGGGTGGGTAGCAGCAACATTTACATGTTCCTTCAGCCAGAATGGTTGTCTTTGGATGTGGGAGATGAAATGGAGGTGCTGCCACAGGGATGGCTGCAGAGCACTGCCTTGGGCACAGTGGTGTTTGTGGGTTGAGGCTGGTGAAAGTGCTGCTGCTTCGGGACATCCTGTTTTAAGTCAGCCTCTGACACTGAAGTCCCATCAATAACTTAATACTGTCTCTATTGGGCAGTTAAAGATGTAAGGCTGTGTATTTAAAATTAACTCAGGGTAGAATAAACTGTAAATGAAACACAGACTGTGAATAACAACTCCCAGAACTTCTTCAGTAAAGGTGTGGGGAGGTGTAGGATTCGGGCAAAGCCGCTTTCCCCCTGCCTGGGTGAGTTGCTGCCGTTGCCCTCAGTGCTGTTCCCCGAGCACATTTCACAGCAAATCCTTTGTATTCCATGATTCAGGCAGGCACATTCCACCCTTCTGGTGACATCTCAGTGGGGGCCTGGGCTGCTGCCAGAGGAGTGTATCCCTCCTTCTCAAATCCCTCATCCCAAATTCTCCCAGGTTCAATGAGGAGAGGAAGCGTTGAAGAGGTCCCGCTTTCCTTGGATCAGATCCTTTGCATGTACCTTACCTAAAAACAAGCTTGAGCTTGAAAATGTCAGGTGTACACTGGATCCCCACAGCGAGTGTCCAGGGGATGAGGAATCACTAAAATTGAGCCTTGCCTTCTCCATGCAGCAGGTATGAACATGTGACTCATCCCACTACAGACAGCTTGAAACCTGGATCCAGTGCAGAGATGCAATAACCTGATTGTTGTCTCTCCAGTCCCCAAAAAAACTTATCCATATATGCCCTACTAGCAAAATACACTTGGATTTCATCTACTCCTATCACTTTATATTTCATATCTATAATATTATACATGGGTTTAAAATTATTTTCTTTGTAGTAGTTTCTCATTCTCAGAGTCTTCACACTGCCACGGTTACCTAGGAAATGCAGAATTACGTGCTCTAATCAGATATCTGCTGTTTAGCTGTATCTTTTACACCTAAATCACAGTGTTCCACCTTTCAGCAGTACTTGTTTGTCCGTGTCAGCCACAGCATTGTCCCGTCAGTGTGTGTGACCTCATCCATCCGTGTGGTTCGTGTGTCCTGGACCAAAATACAGACTGGGGTTAACATTGTGCAGTAGGAAGCAGAGGCCTTGTACAGCCCCACTCCAAGCATTTCCATTGGCTCAGCTCTGCGGGTGATGTATTTTGGCTTTTACCACAAAAATGTGTTAATTGTATTTGCACAAAAGCAGCACAGTCCTATATTTGAAGAATAATTTACATTCATTATGTGTTTCTTTAAAACCTTCCATCTCCTCTCCTCCCTTTCCCCCCTACTTTCCCTTTTCCCAGTGTTTGTAAGGTTACCGAAGAAACATGCATTTAAACAATTAAGGAGGAACTTAAGAATCCATCTCTCTGCCAAGGTATATTTTTCTATTTGCAGTAAATCTAAGTCAGTAATGTCTCATTCAGAACATAGACGTGGTTTGCATTAGACCAGATTTTTTGGTGTGACAAATACTTTGGATGGAAGAAGTGACTGGGGTTTTGTGTTGATGTCACAAAGCTTTTAAAAACACTTCTATTCAAGGAAGAAAGATTGTGTATTTCTTTGACAGCTGAAGTGTAGGAAACCATTCACTGTGCATTGGGCACAGTGCAGAATCCTTCGTGTAGAAGCCAGAACAAAATCTGGCTAATTCCGTGTAACACTGGCATTCGTCCCCGAGTCAGAGTGGGAACAGGTGGGGGACAATTTGCCACGGGGAGGAAATGTCTTATTATTCTCTCTTAGCCTTGAAATCCGTAAAAGCCTGTAGTAGGAGTTTGTAGTTCAAAGGAAGAGTGGTGTACACTCGCTTTACTATGCAGTGTCTCTGAAGAAGCACCTTCTCCACAGCCCCTCCCAAATGGGATTGCATTCCCAGCAGGTCAGTTCTCGTTCTGGAAAAAACAGGGTTTGGTTTTGTTACTTAGGAAAACATAATTTTAGTTGCCAAGCTTAAGCTTTTAAAAGGATGCAGTGGAAAAGACTTCAGTGGGAAGATGTTCTGAATTGTTTCACAAACTAAAATGTAAATATTCTGCTTAAGAGTATTCTGTATATCTTTTAAGGTTTACAGGTAGGGGAGGGGGAACAAAAACTGCAAAGGAAGGAACCCTGAAAACTTTGGCTTTATATTTTCAGAGTGATTTATTGTTTTCAAGTGCAAAAGCTGATTTGAGAAAAGCTCATGCAATTTAGAATGCGTATTAGTCACCTACAGTGTCTTACTGAAAACCTTTGGTAGTACTTTCAAACATGTTTTTTATGACAGTGTAACTTCTATATTGGAATAAAATATTTTCTAGTGTTAGAAGTGTCTCAAAGCTGTAGTCTAAATCATTTTTCATAGTTTGATACTTCTGTGCTTCTAAGGAGTTGTGATTTTGGTGAAATTCAGTGTTAAAATGCTCAAGCATAATGTGCTTCGGAAGCATTTATTTTTGAGCTATTTTGGGATTCTCATTTTTTTGGTGTAGAATCCCTAATAACTTGCCATCATCGCTGGACTCACCACTGCCTTGTTTGTTACACAGATGTCCCTGCTTAAAGTTGTTCCTAGAACTGGGCAAACCACTCACTAGGGACTAATTTTATCCTTTATTCTGCTCCTAAATTAGTTCCCTGCTAGACTCTCTTCTTTGCAGATCTGGGTTGGGGGTTTTTTTGGAAACATTTTTATTGTTGGTTGTTTTGTACGTTCTTTGCTTCTGTTGTTTGCTTCCAGCGGCATGATTTATCTGGGTTCTGCTCTCTGGGAATGACTCAGTTTGTAACAGGAGGAGGGAAGAACGGGATGCTCGTGGCTCTATCAGCTCTTGCCATCAGTCGTCTTAGAAGTGCATTTGCATCGGTATTTGCGAGGCTTCTGCTTGCCGTAGATTTTTTTCCTTCAGCTAAATCCTGCTCCCAGAGGCATCAGGACTGTCTGGGTGGAGAGCCCGTGTGGTGCTGGTTGAAGGGATGTTCCTGTCGCTCCCTGGCTCCGGCTGTGCTGCCCTCAGTCCATCCCGTCATCGCTGCAGAGGGGCCGCGGTGGTTGCGGGGCTGTAAATGCACAGATGTGAGCGGAGGGGCCCTGGGCTGACGCTGTGCCTGGAACGTGATGAAATAAATGTGCTGCTGTTTGTGGCACAGAGTGTGACTTGTCTGAAAGAAACCCTGGCCTGGCCTGGGGGGTGGATTAATTTTTCCTCAGCAGGTTTAAAGGAAATTACTTCATCCATCAGCAGGTTCTCAACCTTTTTACGTTTTGAGAACGGGCTAGAAGATAATCTCTGGGGCATATATAGAAAGGGGAAAGTGGTTAAAAATGAGGCTCACCTTGCTGCAGGAGTATCTTATTTATATCTCAAAGAACAGATTTTACAATTCCTAGTTGCAGTCTCACAAGAGATTTCAGATCCTATGCATACAAAAACAACAGATCATCTTGTCCTCCTGTTTTTTCACTGAAGTGTGATCAAGTTCTGCTTTTCCGAAGGAAAAAAAAAAACTGGAATGATAAAATCTCTGCAAGAAGTACTATTTGAAAGATGCTGATCCTTAATTTTAGGCAAATAAGGGGCATTGCCAACTGGAAACTAGCAATAATTAGTACAAAGAATTTTGGACCTCTGACACTGTGGCTGCCTCATGTTGGTTTTGCTCCTCTGACAGCGAGGCTGTGTGCTTGCTCCTTGTACAGCTTGGTCAGTAGACGCTGTTTTGAAAATGGTTTATGAAAATTATATTTATTAAATAAAACTTTCACTTCTAGCTGAGTCATTGTTTTAATTATGTGTTAGAGGAAAATATGGCAGAGTAAAGCCAGGCTTGCTGTGCCACAGGCCCAGGATCAGGCAGTAGATTTATTCCCAGCAGCCTCAGGCTGGAGAGAAGTCCACCAGGAAGAAAAGCAAAACAAACCCAAAAAACCTCACAGCTGTACATAAAGACACACACACACTTAACATACACCCATAGATGTGTGTGTGTAAGGGGATGCAGCAGCTGAACTCAAATCAGTTGACCCAGGAACTCACTGGCCCTGGAGCTCACTGATTAGTGATGAATTCCAGCCTGGGGGTCATTCCCATTTCTCCACCAGTAAATGTAACCCAGAGTTCACTCAGCTGCCCAACCACAGCCTTGTCCTCTCCACACACAACCTTTACAGCCCCATCATTTCTCACCCTCTCAGGTTCCTGGTCCTAATTTGATTTACAGGGTTATGCCTCTGACTCCTGCCAGTTGTCCTTTGAACATTCAGGAAGGCTTGGAATGTTATATTCTTGAACACATACAATTTGAATTTAGAAAAGAAGGAGTTTTAATTTTCTTGCAAAATATTCAAATGACATTCAGGCAGTTTTTGTTTAGTCTGAGAACTTGAAGACCATTTAGCAGAAGAACTTCCAGTTTAAATGCTCAGACTTGGGCCTGAGTTACAGGTGCCTGTTTAAACCATCAGGAGCAAAATTCTTGGTCTTTACTCAAGCAGATATTTCTACACATTGGTACTAAACCAGCTACAGTTCTACAAAGCTTAGGCCTATTTCTGATAGATGAAATTATAATTTCATCAAGTATTTAATGCTGCAGTCAACTCTTGGAGAGCTCAGAGGCACCATGGTTTAAAAACCAAACACAGTCACTGTACCATACTCAAATAAAATCTACAGAGACTTCTGGCAACAGTATTTAAATAAAGTGTGAATGACAAAAGTTTATTAAATGCATTCTTAAAAAATTATATCTTTCTTAAATAAGGACTTCTCAGCACGGATTTCATTGTAAAACAGTTTTGAAGCAGGTCATAAGTTACTTATTAACAGGTCGATAAAAAAAAGTCACTTCACTACTGTAGGATGGTCTTCAGCCACATTTAAACCACTGCAGTGTGTGTGGTGTCTTCCTTCACATGCTAGGGAATGGCAATGCCCAGGGCTGGGAACACCGGCTCCATGGGGACTTGTACACGTGTACAACAAGCAGTAGGCAAAGTGTTGTAGCAGTTTTTAGATTTTTTTTTCCCCCCCAAAAAGAAAAAACAACTTACCACAAAACTGTATTTTATGCAGAAGACAAGTATTCCATGCTTTTTTCCCCCCCCACTCCTTAAAAGAACATTCCAGAAATAAATCTTACAATAATACACTGAAACAATGCAGGAGAAGCCTCAGTCATGGCAATTTCACTGGAGCTTTATTGCCTTTGTTGGTAATGAGAGGGATTGTAAGAAGTTACATTTGAACTTACAGAGATATGTAAATGACGGTTTTTTACTAAATATAATCTCGAGATTAAGTGTTTTATATCAGGGCACTTCTAATTTTGTACATTTTTTAACGTATAAAAACAGGTTACAAACTTGATGTTTGCCTTCTTTTTTGTTTTTCCTTGACATTTGGCAAAATTAAATCGATCCATTTGTGGGGAGATCATCGAATTGAAGACGTAAGCACTTACGAATTAAAGCAATCCAAGGAAGCAACTGGCTGCATTCTTAAAAAAAAAAAAAAAAAGAAAAAAAAAAAGAAAAAACCCACACACAAATATATAAAGGAAAAACACACATGGCCACATCCGAGCACGTTTCAATACAAAATATTCCCTGTAATCAGGCATTTTGTCCTTAAAACAACACCCTGTTAAATTCAATGTTTCTTTCAACTTCAGTCATTTCGAAAAACTTTTAAGATGCCATGATAGCACAAATAACCCCTTTTCTGCAACATAATAAGTCAAAGTTTTATGTATTTCTTTATAATTACACAGTAATTATAAGCATGTAGTACCAAACTGATGACAACACTATTTTGTTGAAAAGATCTTGCATTCAAAAGGAATAGTCTTTAAAACACCACGGCATTTCGCCACTGCCCAATCTCAGACTTTTTGGAGGGACAAGTCTGTATTGGGATAAAAAGCAAGTCAGTTCTCCTCTCCAAACACAGCAATACTTGAACTAATCAATCTGAAACGGTACCAAAACCCTCAAGACAGAAAACAGCACGCCGAGATACCTTGTCGAGCTTTTTTCCACCCCACCCACCCCTGTAATTTAAAGTCCCCATTTATATTTACACAAAATTGAGAAAGGATATACTGAAAGCAGCAAAACACACAGTTTTTGGCATAGCCAATTCCAGTAGCTGGAGCAAGTTTGCAATGTTTTTGTGGAACTGTATTTTTGGAATCAATGCACAAGTGGATTTGCTAAAAGGGCACTGCTGGAAAGGGAGCCAGCCTTAAGGGCAATTTCAGAGAGTACAAATAAAAAATTTTCATCCGTTTAATATTTTTCAATTTTTCCCTAAAATACTTTTAGCATCTGCATAAAAGTGTGCTGCTGTTTAGTGCAAGTACCAATGACTCATCTCAAAAATAATTCTGGCCTTATCACGGCACTATTTAGAGCACAAACTCAACCCTCTCTCCTCACTTGTGACTCCAGTCTGTCTCCTCTCCTGGAGTTTGTTCTTTCCAGCTTGTTTTACACAGCAGGATTTATCAAATCTCTTCACAAGTAACTAAGTGAGGAGTAAAAGACCACAAAAGCAGCTCAAGAGTTCTTGTAATATTAAAGATAAAGAATAATTGCATCTGATAAAACCTGCTTTAAACCAAATAAACTTGATTTAGTCAAACGCAGTAAAAAGTAGTGATCAACAAAATAATTTAAACAAAGCCAGTGTAGTAGTTTGTATCTGATCTGTGCTTGTTTGGGAAAGCTTTACTCTTAATTTCTGTATTTGGCAACCACAGTGATATGTCAATTTAAGGAAAATTCAACAAAATAACTGAAAAAAGGGTGTCATCCGTAACGGCAGTACCTCTATGTTACAAAGATTTAACTTACTTATCAGGATAATGGTTTCAAAACCTAGATTCACATCAAACTCACCAGCTTCTGGTACAACAGGGCCATTTGCTTCATCATAACTCACCCATAAAAGTTACACATCTCAATTTAAAATACTGTATTGTGTAGCAAACAGTTAAGACACAAATTCAGTATATTCAAGTTTTCGATTTCCACAGAAATGAAAAACCTTTCTTTGACAGACAGATAAGCATTTCAGAACTGCAATGAAATCTGATTTCTTAGACAGTAACCTAGGGAATATTGGATGCTATGAGGACACACACAGCTCATCTCACTGATGTCACTGAGGGCTCTGACATCACACGTGGGTGCTGTAAGTGCACAGAGTTGTGTCATAGCTCAGCTGCCCTCGCAGCCAGCTGGGCACGATCAAACCAGGCAGGGAGGCACCGAGAGACCCCAGGATCAACAACTTTGGGCTTTCTTGCTTAGTTCTGTATTTGTTTTTACCAGATACTCAAACTCACTTAGACAATACCTGCACTTTTCCAGGAAAGAAAAAACTCGGACCCAGGACACTTAAATATATCACTCTTGCAGGAAGTGCTCTCAGTACAGTCTTTGCAACCAGCCCCAAGTGTATATTTAAGGATTCTTTTAAAAATTGTTTCGATGTTGATCTGTATAATTCAGATGCCATACAACAGTTGTCTGATGATGACCAGCATTGTGCTTTATGTGAAACCAGAAACCTCAAAATAATTATAAAGCTTCTAGGACTTATGGGAGATGAAACTAGGGTGATCCACCAACAAAAAATAAATCCATGATGAAATCCACAATGTTGGAATTTTAACGGGCAAGAGTGGTCCAGACTAGAAGAAAAGCCCAAACCACCAGGAGAAGAATGAAATATGATATGGTCCAAGATGTATCCTTAAAGGTTTGTCTCAACCCTCAGCCATATTGTGAGGATTGATCTTCAGTTCAGTCCAGCCAGCAGAAATTGACTGTGCAATTTTCCATTTCAGGTATTTGTACAGACTATGTACACTCTAGAAGGGTCCTTTAGTGCTACACTGTCGTACTTTTTGTCCCAGCAATTTGAGGGCGTGCAAATTCCACAAAGTCATCAATAAGAACTGGCCATGCCCCTGAAAGATAAAAACACCAGAACATGAGAACTCGGTTCAACAACCCATTCTTTTAAAAGCTTCAGTTCCAAACAAGCTCTTTACTTTCCAGTCTTAAACCAGGCAGAGTTTCTAGCTAAAAAAATCAGAATTTGATTTTCTTGCTTGAAATTTAAGAGCTGGTTAAAGATTTCTGCTTCCTTTAAACCCATCTCTTTCAAAGGTCATCTTCCTGACCAAATAAAACAAAAAAAAATGCCACCCCCATAAAAAACAAAACAACCTGACAATGGCACCAGAACTCCAACTTGACCTGCAGGATGGCAGTAACTGCTTAAGGAGTGCTGAAGACTGGATGGAGCAGTTCATGCTGTGAGCAGCAGCATAACAGAACATTCTACAGCATTTACTGCTCAAAGTATGGTTTGCATGAATGCCAAGCTCATCATCTGTTAGAACCAGCACACTCAGCCACACCTGAGCCCAGCCAAGCACACCCTGACAGTCTGATGCCCCAGAAGGCTCCTGTTACACTCCATACACTCCTCCACATTCCTCACCAGGAGGCAGCTGAAATACTTAACAATATTTTACACATTATGGGCAGCCAAAAGCAAAGAGTCCCCAGTCTTGTACATGATGGTCATGTGAAGGTTAAAAATAATCATGGGTGGGGTTTTGGTGGGCTTTTTTCTCCTTCGAATATTTTTATTCCAGATCACTCAAACGTATTTTCTACCTTTAGTCTTTCTAAACTACATGGATTTATTGCAGGCAGCAGCATTTTCTCGATGACAGGGGAATGAGAACTGTCCATAATTATTAGATGAAGCTGTAGAAGTTTGCTCCCCTCTGCTCTGGAGGTATCACAAGTTTAGTCTCCTCCTCCCCTCACTGAACTGATGTGCTGCCAAGCACTGAGGGTGATCAGCTGTTCTTGGCTACAGACGGGACTGAGAAAGATCGATATAGAAGTTTACAAAGAAACACATTTGCTAGGAAGTGACTTATGTTTAGCAATCCCTGTGTGCTGCCAGCTTCACTTCTATATCCTTACATGGCCAACCCTCACATAAACTGAGGCAACCAAACTTAAAACACATTCTCAGCTACGAAATGCAGGAAACCAGAACACCCTACACAGAACTGCCTGGGCCATGGGTCAGTTCCTTGGATGAAGATGCCAAGAACTGCTCCCACTGACAGAGAATTCATGGGTTTAAAATGCACAAATATCAGGGTTTGTCTCAATAAGAAAGAATTTGTGTCTAAACTCAGACAGAAGAAAAAAAGAAAATGGATTCTATGGAAGTTTCAGCATTTCTTTTTTAAACCTGCAGTAACAAACAGATGTTTACAACATGCATTAAAGCAGCTCTGACTGGGCTTTAGATCACTGGGGATATTCTAATTGTGCTGTTATTAGACAGCTGTGCCAAAGCAGACACACATTAATGAATGTAGCATAAAACACAGTTAGAAGTTAATGAAAGAAAATGGAAATGTTTACCTTCCTCATCATAGTTAGACATATCATCTGCTATCATTGTACTAAAGTCTAGAAGAAGGTTCCAGGTATCCTTAGGAATTGATCTTTTATGATGTTCCTGTTCAGAGGGGTAGAAAATTTATATTTTTAAAAAAATAAATTAAAACCCTATTACACATTCATTTTTACTGTCTTAGACACATCCATATCCCCAAAACATATTTCTCTTGTACACAGTATGAATATCTGGGATTTGGGTCAAGACAGTCTATTTCATCTACATTCTATAATTTAAACATGTTTATCTTCCAAGTTTTGAAAATACTGCAATCCAGCTTATGTAAAGATTTAAACTTACCAACAAAAATTTGTTCCACAAGTCTAGAAATTTAAATCTTCCATTAAGTACTAAATTCCAGTAGGCAATGGCCATTTCTAAATCTGTAATATTAAAATATATTACTTTTAGAGATATACATATCAAATATATAATCTCCACAAGTATCTAACACTAGGATGAACTATATATTCATAAAGGTGAAAAGATTAAACTAATGCAAATATACTCATGGATCCTTTACAAAAAGGCAACCATAAATAAAGTGTTACACAAGTATATTAGATTTTGATACTATTACTTGAATATAGAACTGAAAATTGCCCGTATTAATATCTAACATATCCAAAACACACAAGGACATTTCATGTGCCTTTTGCTATACAGCAATATGTAATTAAATATCAGATAAGTATTTTTGGTTTAGAAATGTTACTGACTTGGAAAGAAAATCTGTAGTATTTTGCAGTGAGGTCTGCTTTCATTTTTTTTAAATATATAAAATACAATTTACATAAAACTGGCCTTTTATGATTTCATTTTCAGAGCAACCTTATTATAGGTCCTGCCTTTGTAACAAGGCTTTTGTCAGGTGCTCATTTCTGCAATCAGATTTCCTTGGGAAAAAAAGATCTTTAAGTAGTGTCTTTAAGCAGACAGCTGATGGTGTGTTTGTTGGCATTATTTTGGTCGGGCTGGTTTTGGGGTTTTTTGTTGGTGGTTTGGGGTATTTTTTGTTTTGGTTTGTTTTTTTCTTTTGTTTGTTGGGAGTCTCTGCAGTTTGCTTTTTTTTTGTTGGGTTTTTGTTTGTTTTGTTTTTTCCCTGAAGATTCCTGTGAAATTTCTGCTTGCTTGGAATCAGTTTCTCAGGACGACTGAGAAATCTGACCTGGCCCATTTCAGAGCAGCCTCTCAGGCACGGGTGCTGTTAGCAGTGCAGCAGTTAAAGAAAGAGCCTGGTTAGTCTGGCATGGAAGGGAAAAGAAAGACAACTCACCTCTCTGGCATGTGCCAAGGGCTAAACTGACATGCATTTACTGTTTAGTAGTGGCAGACAGTAACTTGTTAGCTGACAAAGGCAATTTAGAACCCAGATAGGCAACTCTTTGCCCAGTGTCACCTGCATTACCAGGAATTACCAAGCAATTCCTCTGTGCTGCAGAACAAAACACTGCTCACTGTGAATTCCCAAATTCAGTATCCTTAGCCAAATACATACAGTGACCCCAAAAGCCTGCCCATGTAAGCAGCCTCTTTTTTTAAAAAAAGCTCTTATATATTTTGCAGTCTAGCAAATTTGTTCCATAAACAATCCTCTTGTGAAAGCAAAGAGAAAAGGCACGGGATCAACTGCACCTCAAGAAAAAAAGAAAAAAAAGCCCAAACCAACAACTCAACACCACCACTCCCTTCCCCCAGGATGCCCAAATATTTAAAAAAACCCAGGGAGGTAGATCTTGGAGATGAAATCAACAGCAGACAAAACAAAGCATGAAATCTGCACTGCTGAAGGGAAAATAGATGGTGACTGTGAGTTTCTGAATTGTTTACTATCTGAAATTAAAAGTTCTTTTCCAACAGCAGAGTCACATTATAATGCTTCTGAATAAAATTCATGAAGGATTTTCCAGCAACTGCAAAGGGGTGTGATTTCAGACAAAAGTGTAAGTCTGAGCCTCGAGAAGAAGAGACAGATTAGAAACAAGTCACTACTCCTCGGTAAATAAGCTGTATGTGAAAATGGCAAACATAATTCAAGACTGCAAAGGTTTGGTATCTCTCTTTAACAGAAGATTCAGATACAAAAACATGCATTTTAGCTCTCAACTAAAACTACTGTCTTTCTAAAAGTTAACAGATACAAACTTCTGATGAAGCTGATCAGTTCCTCAAGGAAACACATTAGAAAACTAGGTTTTATTTACCTGTGCTGCATTAATGGTATGCTCACAGAAATGCAAGGTCTTTACAGTGATTTGTAAACAATCACTATAAACAAACTGTGCATTTTGACATGCTTATCCAGTTTTGAGATAATTCTTGTGGGTAAGCAAAGGCTGTTAAAAAATCTCAGGATACTGTAACTTCAAACTTATTGTATGAGTAGACATAATGCCCCGGGACAAACTACATGTTTTAAAAGAAATTTTATGAAATAACAAAATTGGAAGTTAAAGATATAATTTTAGGTTTTCATAAATGTAAGAATGCTCAGGAAAATCCTCATGGATCAAACAGAAAAGCCTCCAAGTATATACTCCATTTTGAGTTTTATCCAGAGACATGTAAGAGAAGCAAACAGTGTTTGAGATGAACATCAGCTACAAGGGGTTCTCCAGTGGTATGCAAATATCACAAGAACTTTTAAGACATCCACAGTACTTACACAGTAGTAAGGAATTACGCAGAGGAAACACATTTCCAGAACTGTGCCTGAACTACTGCACAATGTTTGCAAGATTAGAGACCAATATACATTAAAATCAATTTGCAAGTTCCAACAAGCAGTTATTCAGACACACCAAAATGAATTGCCTAACTAGGAGCACTTACTTTGCAGCACTGTACTTCTCCCACTATTCTTTTCCTTCAGGGTTTCCAGAATTACTCTGCCCTGTTGTAAATTCATGCCTAGAACTGTGTATTTATGAGCACCAAAAGGGCTGGTAAGCATCCGGATTTTAAGCTCAGTTCTACATCACTTCCAGACCCAGACTTGAAAACAAAAGCAATCAAAAAACCCAACTTATACTATGTATGTGCTATATAGATCTGAAAAACTATACTTTGTCACTGTTAGAGCTTAACCTGCATAAAGAAGCTTTATGATGAATGAGAAATAAAGCAAGGGAATTAGTTTTCCTGGTAAGTCATTTTTATGGAAGTCTGTTCCATCTGGGACACTCAACAGATTCATTTCTATACAGGACTTGTGAGGGATTTAGAAAAGGAATGCAAGTCTTCCTTGTACCTTAAAATATGGAAAAGAAAATAAAAGGTAAGTACTAAATCAAACAGTTCTGTTATTCTGAAGCTTTGAGAAAACTAACTAAAAAGGTTCATGTAATTATGGTATCGTTGCAATTTGTTCATTGCATTTTTACCACCTTACAGGGATTCTACAAAATGCTCCTTGTTGTGTAAAGCTGTTTAAAGATTGAAAACAACATACAAATGTCACAATGGTAACCATTAAAAAAAAAAAATCGAAGAACAAAACCCTGCAACCATTCACACTGCAGAACAAACTCTACACTGACACTTCCCACATCCTAACTTCTACCTTCCCACGTTTTCCTTGTTGTAGCAGCCTAAAAAAATTAATCTTTGTACAAGACATAAGAATCAGCACATTCATTTACTTGCATGATTCAGATCTGACTACAAGCATGCACAAGTATTTTCCTACTGCTTCACAGTACTCTGCAGCTTCTTTAAAGACAATGAAATTCACAGTCCAATTGAAAACAAAAAACAAGATACAGAAAGATGTTAAACAACGACACAGTTGAAACCAAGACACAGAGTTTTTGCTTATTTACTTATTTTTCAATACTTATCTTAAGCCAAAAGTTGGTCCATATATAAAAGCAAATAAAACTAAAGCAGAAGACTCATCTTTACACAGTCTGTGAGTACAAAGCTGTGGCAGTTTTCTGTGGCAGTATTAGGGCATTTTCTTTACTGAGGAAAACAAACTTACAAGTTGCCAAGGAAGAACCTACTGGTCTTTCAGTATTTTGCTTTCACTCAAAAGTAGAACAGTTAAGAAGTTAACAGCTACAGAATCATGAAATTATAGTTTATGGCTGATATCTCAATTACACTGTATATAAATTAATGTGCATTCTGGTTTTTTAACATTACTGCTTGAAAGAAATTTTTGTTCCCTCATTTTTGCTGTTTTGGGTAGACAGAGCTACAGTTTTTCAATTAGTTCCATCTGAACTGCCATGTTCTGAAATTATTTTTAATAAGTGACTCTTCCACTTCACCTGTTACACTAACCAAAGCCACAGTCGGCACATGAGCCCTGAAATAATGAAAAAAGCATTCAGTGAAATGAGGGGGGGAAAAAAGCTGTAGGTAGACACCTATTACCAACAGCACAACAATAGGCATCAGGCCCAGGATACAGTAATCCATTTGTACTACTCCAATTCTATTTTGCCAAGACATTTGCAAGCATTTTTGGTGTTGCAAGAGACTGCACAAGTGTGCTTATTAAAACGGCTTTACAGCTTCAATTTATCCTAAAAGTAAAAATTCAATTAATCTGTTCAGTGCTGCAAATTCTAAGTGGTGCAATTATGTCTTTAATGTAAGACCATAATCCATTGTGCTTACTGAGCACTGCACACACACAGTGAAAGAATAAACCCTCTCTCATAAAATTTTGTAGCCTTTATTAATGATGCAAATATTTCTATCAATTTGAACACCTTAAACTGACATCTATCTTTCACAACACAGAGATGTATTTTATCCCAGGGGGGATTATCTTTCAGACTCACTGGATCACAACAGCACATTCACTTCCTGCTCTAATCAGCCATTTCCTATGTTTATGAACAAATGCTTATGATTAAGAATACATACCTAAACCTTTCTGTCCCGGGTTCTTTGCAAAGTTGAAAGTAAACTGATAAAAATCCTTAAATCTTCCTGGTTCTTTTAATTCTTGTTCCATTTTAGGAATCTGGGCCTTCAGTTTTTCTATGCTGTCACATCTGTAGTTTAAGAAGCATGTTTATTCATGTATTATTCATTTTACCATGAAAACATGAGTTATAACATAAACAAAAATCTATGAACTGTTTGTGGAATACAACTATCAAAACAAAACTCAGGATTCCTTTAATGAGTCTGCACCTATGCAGCAATATTTCATTTCTTTGTTGTTATTTCTTCACATTGCATTTGCACATACTAACTGATACATCAGATCCTATAATCCACAGGATCTTTAGAAAAATGTGATAAAGACTGTTATGCTCTCAGAGAAAACTGACTGCAAACCAACATCCCTGCTTTACCACCCTGAGCAGCTCTGTGGCAACTGCCTGAAATGCTCACACAACCAAGGCAAGGGGCACTCAAAGCTCCCTCCCTTCTTCTCCAATTACCCAGCACACAGACAGCAGATGCATTTTTACAGAGGCAGACAAGTGATGCTGGACTCTCAAAAGTCTCTGAGAGGGCAACGTGACTGAGAATTCCCCAAAATAGGACACTGGATCACACTGTCAACATCTAACACTTATTAAACACTTACCCCAGCTCAGTCATTCCGTCCATGAATTCCAGCTTTGAGAACTCACACTGCGTTGCAGCTCGGAATTTCCATGCAATGATGAGAACAGTAATGCTGGCTGGGTCAAGAGCTAGATCATCACAGAACTGCTGTATACCATCTATACCAATTTTATTTTCATCTTGAGGATCTTTGGGACATAAAAGTAAGTATCAAGAAAAACAGGTATTTGAAAAAGCCAATTTGCTCAAGTATATTTAAGATAAGGAAACATTTTCAAGAAGCCATTTTTGGGATCAGCCTTTGTAAGTGAGTATTTTAAAAACAAAATTAAATTGTATTCTCAATGGTTAAGCTTTAACAATTGAGGCAGTTACTGCAGTAAAGCCTCCCATACAATGAAGCTCATGTTATTTTCACTGAGAGACAAAGAAGCACCACAAACATTTGTTTTCTGCCTAATACTATGCATGATATTCTGACTCATTCCACACAGAGCACAGTGGTTCTCTCCCCCCAGGACACTTAATTATTGGCATCTTTGGTAAGGCTGATGATCTGTGTCCCATTATTAGCAGTTGTGCAGTGTCCCTTTGCAAGCTGTACTAATACCCAAATCTGCCCATCAACCACTACCCCAAACTGTAGTTTTATGCATTTCCTGGCACCACCAGCATGCAGGAGATTGGACAGGGTAACCTCCAAGGGGAAGTTACACTGCCCCATTACCGATGATTCCAAGTCAGCCAGTCACACTCCTCTTTCCACGGAGGAATCAACATCTGGTCTGGAAGCGAGATGCTCATATTTCAACTGCACTAACAAAGATCTACTAATGCAAGCCAACAAAGACTTCAGGAAAATGGTATTTGGATTATGCACACATATGAAAACTGACAGAAAATACAGCACTCAGATTTTTTCTAAGTGCTAAAACACAGGATTTGTTCTACTGCACTATCTGTGGTACAGCACCAAAGGTTGAACACTGGCGATGTAACAGATAAAGAGGCTTTGTTTTCTGTTACACTCTGTTTGTAATTATCTGATAATAAGCCCAAGGTGAATAAAAATTAAGGTAGAACCCATCCCTGGTATGCCACCCTTCATTTTGTCAGGATCAAGTCCTGAGTGATGTGCTTTCCCCAAAAGAATCACCTGAAATCCTCATTAACCACTACAGTTTCTCACTGCACACACAATTCCAGCTCCAGACCCTCATCTTGTATAAATGTACTTACACTTGGAGCACATAAAGCACCTGTATGTAATCCCTGTGAAGCAGAAGCCTACACATATTCCCCTTCTAACCTGTATTATCAGTAACAGAAAAACAAAGCTGAAAGAGTTGGTTAAGACTTCCCAGCACAGGAGCACAGCAGCACTAATACACTGTAATTAAGAATATATACATACAACAAGGAAATAAGCCTTAAAATTCAGGGTACTCACCTTTGTATCTGTTATATAGTTGTTCTAACTTCTTTCTGTCCAACGATCCTTTAACACTCTCTCGTATATAAAGTTCAGGATTTTGGAAAAAGTTGTCTGTTGCAACATCTAACTTCCAGTCATTTTGAGAGAGACAACTCACTGCTGTCTTTTCACTAGATTGTGTGAAGACCATAAACTGACGCACTTTATCCTTCTGTGATGATTTCAACTTGTTCTAGTGAAAACAGACAATAGTGTAAATAGAAACATTTACTGGAAGAATAAACAAATAAATGAAAAATCAGTCCTGTCTATATTTTTTAAATCAGGACTTCTATAATTTTCCCAAGCAATTAAGGTATCAAAATATTTGATTAAGTGGCTCCGAGGCTGGGGCAGAGCAGGCTGTTGAACAGCTCACCATCCCTGAGCAGGAGGCTGGTGTCCATTTGCTCCCAGCTATTGCAGGACCAGGGCCAGACCTGGAACAGGATCTCCTGAAGTGCCCCTTGGTGGCAACAAGGGACTAGGCTGGATCATCCATTTCAGGGAGCTACACACTGAAATACCTTAAAGACTTTTTTTTTTTTTTACGAGATTTTTCACTTTGAAAGTCCTCAACTCCACCTACATGATTTGCAAAACATTCCTGTGAGGAGGCATTGTCTCCATTTCACAGGTGCAGCAACTGAAGCTAAAAAAAAAGGGTAGGTAATTCTGCCAGAGGCGAGTGGGGGAGTGAGTAGCCAAGGTGAGAGCTCTGAATTCCAGGCCTCCTGCCCAGACCCAGAGACATCCCTCTGCTCTAGCACAGAACTGAACAGAGAACTTGCTGCCAGTAACTGATCAGCAGAGAGGGATTCCCAAGGATATTTTTGATGAGGAGAAGCACAGTTAGTATTTCAAGGGTATGAGTTACCCAAAACTAAGTGCTGATCAGGAGAGAGCAAACACACAGATCCTGAGCTACATCCAAATTCAGTTTCAAAGTTCACTCAATGCAGTCAAAGCAAAAGGACTCCCAACACTACAACTTGGTAAATAAAAGTTCCAACAAAATTTTAAGTCAGGATTGGACTTCTTACATGGTGCAAATATTTAATTTTTCGTTTACCTTGTATTCAACCAAAACTTGCACGTTCTGTTCATTATTGTAATTTCCATGGCTCCTTCTCAAGGAGTATGGGGAAAAAGGGCAAAGAAAATCCCAAGACATGATAAACTATCCTCAGCCAAAGAATGAATGGTTTAGGAGCAGTATGAGCTCAAGCTCTTCATTCTGAAGGATAATTAGTGTCCAAGCACATTATCATTAAAGCAAAGAATTAACGCTTCAGAACACAAATTCATCTGTCCTAAAAGTCAGATACAGCTTTCTGTGCCTTGATAACAACAAGTGTGAACGCTATTATTTGTAAGAATAGTGAAATTACCAGCTCCAGGGTTATACCCTTAAAAAAAAATACAAGAGCATCACAACTGGTTTAAACCAATACCCACATAATACACTAAACACACCCATACCCTTTAAGTTCCCCTTAAAAAAGAAAAAATTCCCCTCCAAACCAAACCCACTCTACATCTTCAACACTTTGCTGAAGCCAAAATTTTAGCTCATGCTGCAGACCTAACACACAGTGATATTAGTTAGGCTACATCATTTTTAAAGTTACGATGTGCTGCTGCTTTAATTCAGTCTCTTGGACAAGTTTCTCAAGCTGGATCTTTTACTACAAACACATTTCTGAACCGGTTCCAGGCAAAGGCCAGGCCATGAGAGCAGTTCCTCTGCAGACCCACTGCTGCCTGTCTGTGCACTCTTGGCTCCACAGCAGACATTCAGCACCTTGCAAAGTGAGCTCAGAGTGCCACAGAAATCACTACACTGACAAATCCATGTGGAATGACTTCCAGAAATGACTAATGCATTTTTAGTTGCAGTTTTTAAAAATGTATTGTTAACTCAGATATGTGAAAACAAACCTCTGAATGAAATCCCAAATGAAGATGAAACAATCCCAAATTTAATGTTCTCTATCAATTACCAGCTTCCTCTAATCAGTTCCACAGAGCCAGAATGCTGCTCAGTTGCACTGCAGGGCAGTCACACTTAATTACCATAGCTTTTATTTTTTTTCCTTTCTTTTTTCTTTTTCCCACAAAGCTGGTGCCTTTAATCATTAGTTTGTTTGGTTGTTTTTTTTTTAACATGCACACAGAAGTACACATAGCCCTTTGAATGGTGACTATTCCATAAAACCTCAAGAGATTTTGTTCTGCCCTGCTCCTGGCAAGGGTGAACTCTTAAAGTAGTGACAGACCACTGAAAGTCAAGCAGGTTTGAAAGGGATTCCCTGTGGATGCTCAGGACCACAAAAGGTGGTGTGTTTTACATGTTGTCACAAAAGGAGAATGCAATTTATTACAAAAAAATGCCGCTTAAATCCCTTTTATGATAAAATTTAAATCCTACATATGCACACGACCTTTTCCCGTGCTTGGGGCTCCCTAAGTCATCATAACAACATAGAACCTTTTCAAAAGAAGATCAAAAGTGCCAAGAGTCAAGCAGCTAATTACACTAATCAGTACAGCATTTGGTAGTATATTAAGATGCAATAAATCACACTGTTCAGCCATAATCTTTTTCTGGAATAATCATATTTTTACTGGTCAAATATGAGTTTATTTTTAGTAAAGAAGTGCCAAAGCCCTTTCGTTATATTTGATGAATGTTTCCGCAGAAGCTCCACATCCTAAGTGACTGGACACTCTTTGAAGGCCTACTACAGGACAGTAAGAGATGGATTTACTGCTGAGTTTTTATTATCCTATTATAGCTCTTCCTTCAGCACATTAAAAACCCACACTTCAAGCAGGGACAGGTTCCAAACCTTATGCACTTTTAAGGACTATTTCTAGAAGCCAGTGCTAACAGCCTGTTATTGTTTTAAATGCAATACAGCAGCCAGAGCACCCCATAACCTTTAATCCTACAGTCATCAGGCAACAAATACCTTACACTGCATTTGTAAGCACTGCAATGCAACTCAAACCACTTAAAACATCTCAACTTTAACACTAGCTGAAAAGGAAGACAGAATTTTATTTAACAGATATCTGTCTTGCTAATATATACAAATAAAAACCAATGGAAAACAAATGAAACAAATTCCTAGTCTTACTCTTTGGGTTAAGGGTAAAAGGAAAAATTCAGATCTTCAAGCTTTTGATCAAATTTGTGTGGTACCCAAGCTACCTTTCATAATACTGATGTCACAAGAGAGAGAAGGTGACCTTACTTTTCAAACACAAAGTAACTTCTCCAAATGAAAAGCTGCATTATGCAGATTAATAAAATTACACTAGTTCTAATGAACATCTGATTCTACAACATCAGTTTTAAAATTAAATCTTCCTCTTACCATGAAGTACCAAATTTGAATATTCTTTCCTTGATCAGATCCTTGAATAACCTTTCCTTGATCAGATACTTCAGTGAAAGATTCCAAATTTAAAAAAAAAATAAAAATACCTGGGCTTTTATTTCCTGAAGTAGTTTTCTCCCCAGCCTAGAGAACAAGAAATGCTAAAACTGATCTACCAACTCTGACCACAACATTGTTTTTCCATATCTTTACACTCAGTTTTTAGTCTGCTCAGATTCAAATATCAGCTCTGCACACTGGTCATCAATATTTTCTGGACAGATGATAGCCAAACAAGGGCTCTGCTCTCCTGGACAATGTCCATGGGAAAGAGCAACATCCCACACTGCCTGGACTGGAGAGCTGGGAATCCCCACCAGAACCGTGCTCTTGGACGTTGCTCAAAGGTCATATGTGGCCCCCAGCCAGACAAGCAGTGCACGATCAGTTTTGCAGCCCAGAATTTCTCAAGGCCCCCAAAGAAGGCGTTCACACAGTCACTCCATAACTGCTTTCCACCCTTCCCTTCCCAGGCATCGATAGAGCTGATCCGATTCCTGCTCAGTTCGCTGCTAACTAAGGGAATCTGAACGATGTGACATCTGTGCCTTTGTTTCAGGCAGGACTCACAGAAAAGCCTGTTAAGTTCTCACGCACGTGACAGGTAAAAGCCTTTTCTAAAATAGTATCAACCTCCACAAAGTCTGGGCCTTTGTACTGCCTGCATTTAAACTCCAGCAAGAGCTCTGGCTGTGGGAAGCATCCCTGCACTTCCTAAGGACCCCACTGACTCAGTTCAATCCCGGAGTAACTCCAGCCCGCACACAACGGGCTCGGCATCCCAGAACCTCACCCGACTGCAGCTCTGTCACGGCTTTATGTGACACTAATGGTCAGGAGAATATCACCCCCGACAGTGCCTGAATCACCCCACCCTGGGCAGTATCCATTAAAGGAACCGACAAGACACCTGCAAATAGCTCGGTTTACAGCTGGTATTCAACGAATACACGGCTAAAGCCTAAAAGGCAAAACCGTGAGCATTTATGTTTGATAAGAAAACAAAAGTTAATCATAACAGAAATCTATGAATACACCGGAGTGCATTTTAACCCACCAATTGTGATGGCACACATGTATACTACCAAAAAAAAAATCCAAGTTAAAGACAAAACAATTAAAGTAGATAGCCACAGTTTCTGCATAATGTAAACAAACATGTGCTTTAACTACATTTTATTTTCCAAAGCAGTTTCTCTAAGAAGCAAGACAATCAGGACATTTCTAAGCTTCAAGTTTCAAACTGATGTGAAATCCATTTGTCTGCAGTGGAACAGAACAAAACCATTTACAAAGTCTGCTGAGATACAAAATCCAAGGAAAAAACCACAAGCAACATAAAATTAAAGTTGCTTTTTATACCTTCTAATGTTCTTTTAGTGGATAAAATCAGTTTAGTACCTGCATGCAGGCAGGTCAATATATAGCTACACATAAGATGTAATTGTAATTCACATTAACATGAACAGTGAAGGAAATGCCAAAAATCAGGGCTTTTCCAACTAAAAAAGGACAAAATAAAGCAGTCAGTTGCTTGGCATTCTTAGCTCTGGTGTGGGGCAGAAGCTCTATTCAGCCCTTAGAAGCTGCATTCATACCATATATTTGCATTGGCACCATAAAACATGAGTAAAATATCAAGAGCTACATAATAAATTTCACACCTTGTTCTCAGAGTAGTTCATATTTCTGAATAATTTTTCATGGCTCTAGTTAAAAGTGATTTTACAGCCTTAGTTCAAAGGGT